CCCTGTACGACGAATCCTACTGTTCCCAAACTGTCCTCGCTTGAATGTACTTCTGTCGAATTCCCTTCATTCATTACATTCCCAACATCATCCCTATATGTAGTTGATTTGTCTACAGTTGCACCCCCTCTTGAGCATCACGGCTCGGCTCTTTCAATGAGTTCGGTGCTTTGTTGTGGAGTCGAAGTCCGCACATTTGTCGAGTTGACCGTCCATCGTTTCATTGACATTCTGATATCCTGGGGTAGCTGCTCCGTGTCTCTTAGTTTTGCATGCTCGGTTGATCGACATGATACATATACTTTTCTTATAAATAAGATAGAATACACAGAGAATTGTGCCTAGAGGCTGTCGGAAGATACCCAAGGAGCCAAACGCCCTCGGTGCCACTGCCGAAGTGTGCCGAGAAGAAGTCCCATTTATGGCTTTGTTTGGTTGAGGCGCGCCCATTTTTTTCACCGCGCATCACTCCGATCTCATATGCAAACGGCTGTATTCTGGAATCTGAGACACTCGGGCTCCTTCCTTCCTTCCACAAACGGGTGGTGTCAGTTGGCATGCCTGCTATAGACACTCGCTTACCAGTCTGGTTAATTGGTGGTGTTGAAATGTCGCGATGATACCGTTTGGGTATAGATGGTCAGCTTTACCCTCAGTGCCAGTGATTAATTAAGATCGGAAAGTCAGTACGAAAAGAGACGCGGATGCGATCATTTCTCCGGTCACCGTTCGAGGCGGCAGTTTCAACATATATGTGATGTTTTCATAATAATTATGGCATTTCTAACCGTTCGGGACGAGTCTGTTTGTTCCAATCGGATCAAGTGAACGTCCATCCACTACGCCCAGCAGAAAAGTACACATGAGGATGCGTTCTCCGTCTAACACTTGATCTGAAGACTGTGCTACAACGGTGCGTGTTTCAAGACATGTCTTGACAGGGAAATGACGCCGCACTCTGATCGAAGACACCGAGAGAACATCCTCGGCCATCAGATTCCTCTGATATATATTACTTTCTGCAGTCAACCCCCCTCCTCCCGGTGTCCCAACGACCGTCAAACACAATTTTCCATCCTGTATTATTTGCTTCCATGTCTAGCGACGAAGCTCGGATGCAATGGACACGGTGATTATTCCCCTCCATATCGAATCATTACTACTAGTCGGGATACTCAGGCTCAGGCTGACCGTTTGTCTGCTCGTTCCACCACTCGCACCGACAGACTCATAGGCAACTGGACAGCCGTATCCGCAGGAGGTGCGGAGCTCCCTTAGACCATCCAAAGCACAACTCCTTCGTGATAAGTTACTAACTCCAACTTGCGACAAAATTTAAAGCGTTATGGGCGTACGACTACATCGCCACCCTGCCGCAGGAGGTGCGGCATGTCTGGACCAATAGCATGTCCGTCACGACGGTCGTGTTCCTCGTCAATCGGTACTCGTTCTTCGCCGCTTTGGCACTTGGGTTGGCTACGACGGCGGCGAGGGATATATCGGATGATGTGTGCGTCTCTTCCATTTTTTCCGGAGTATAATGGGGTGAACTTGAGTGGCTAACATTATATTATGATCAGTTGCAGAGGGTTGATCTCCCTGTGGGTGGCGTTGCTGACCGTCAGTTGGATCGCGACGAATGGCAAGTTACATTCTTTTCTCTCTCTCACACTATCAGTACGGTGCATAAGTATAAGAATAACATTTTCCTCCCTGCGTCCCTTATTAGGCATACTCGTACTACGGGTTTGGAGCATCAGCGGACGACAGACGAAGGTGTTGATTATATGCGTCCCGCTCTTGATCACCATCGTCGGGATCAGCATCTACGTTCGTCTTCTCCAAACATACTTCCTCTGCCGGGTCGTTCTAGTGTAAGGTACTTACGGCGTACGCATCTGATGCAGCGTAATTTCGTACTGGCGAGAGGGATCGGAACGTCGCATACGAAGTCTACGTTTGCGATATTGGCGGGCTGTGGCGTCGAAATATTGGACGGGCGGAGGTTCAACAGGTATGTCTATCCTCTAGACCTCATATCTCCCATCTGACTCAACCGTCGACATCGACTCAGCTGTAAGGCCCTCACCTTTTCTTTAGATGAAGGAACTCGATACTCATTAACACACACCAACACTTGCTCGCCCAAACAGATGAAATCATCGCCGTAGCACTGGCCTTACTACTCGATGGCTACGTCTTCGGCCTGACGGCGGCGACGACGTGGGGACATGTACTCGAGTCGAAGAGGCTGGGGTATAGAGGGGTTACTTATATCTTTCTTCGTGATGGTGGGTGTTTCCATTTACACTGCGCCTGAGATCTCGGGACATTCGTGGGCTGAACGGTTCGGTATATGGATTTAGGTACTATACACTTCCTGTGAGCGATAGGATGATATTCTCGTGCGTCGATGATCTGAGCTGACGTTTGTCTTCCTAGTCTGATCATCGCGACTCAGCTTCTCCTTTTCACTCTGGTCATTGTACGCACCTTTTGCTCAGCTCTTACCCTTACACAGGCTGATGGTCACACCAGATCAGCTTATTCGACGGAAGCGTGAGCATCTTGGACCCTTTCATCCTCATCCACACCCCGTCACACACTACCCTTACCACTGCCCATCCGATACCGACGACTGACGGAGCCACGAAACACACAGTCATCCTACGCGTCCAATCTCTGGCTCAGCGGTCTCAATCCATACCTAAACATGTAAGTCCATCCGTCCGTCCATCCATCCGTCCATCCACCAACATCCTCAGTCGCATCGCCCAAAGTTATGTAAATGCTCATTGACACAAACGAATACTTTTAATGAATCACCCCATAACGCCTCCTCCGCACCAACACCCGGGCCGCAACCAACCATATCACATCATGATACATAACACCCAGGTTTCCAAGCCTCGTAGTGAACCACCTCGTGCTCAACCTCCGATCCTACACACCTTCCTCTTCCTCTTCCCATGCCCGACCGCACCGTACCCGCCCCCGTGGCCGACGCTCCATCAACGGCGTTCGATCCATACTAGGGTCACACTCGCTCTCGGATATCAGGTTTCGCTCAGGCTCGGGTGAGGGTGAGGGTGCAGGTGGAGGATTCGGTGGCAGAGGCAAAACACTGTCACTGTCGCTATCGCTGGGCAATATAGGCGCACCACTCGATTTCTTTGGACGGGGTGAGGGCGAGGATGCGGATGCGGATGTGGACATGGGTGTGGAGGCGGATAGTGATTCTAGGTTTATTGAGGTAGAAGGAGGGGGCGAGGGTGATGGGGGTGGGGATGGGGGTGTTGTGGTTCGTCATGGTGTAAGTCCGGTTTTGTATCGTTTTTGGTTTTTCCTGAAGATGGACATTACACTTTTCAGGTCATTGAGGACGAGAACGAGTCCAATGAAGGGATCGCGATGGTCACATTCGGAGAAGCGTAGCTTTTTTTACTAACTAGTAACGAAATGTGGTAGTTGTATCCTTATGTGTGCGGAACACAGTCAGGAAGGGATGGATCGTGCGAGGAAGAATCACAATGGGGAGGGAAAGTTCGTGGGATGTTGTAAGAGCGGTTCATTCCAGCTCATTCCAGGGAAGAGACGGAGATACTTAGGGACTCATACGTAGGTCGATGGATGGACGAGGTGCATGCTACATGTACACCGGTAACGCTCAGAGTTCTGTCGGCCTTGTTGACCTCAACCCAATCAAAGTGCAGAGTATATACATACTGTAACATACCGGCGGTAGAACGAGAGCGGGGTTGAGGGTGAAGACGAAGTCACGGTGCAGCGCTTGGATTTGTTTCACGGGAATGGGTTGGTTGGTTGGTCGGTCGGGAGTATGATCTTGAATGGAATGGTCTTTGTACCAGTACTGCTGGTCGGGGCCCCAAAGATACAATTACAAGTTACAGCTCTCCTAAGTGAGTATCACGACTTTCAAGTCCAAACTTCGAGATGATGATGATGATGATGATGTTCCGAGTCTTCGTTCGGGCGACGGGCCACGGGCATGTCCAGTGATTCAGACTCAGGCAGTAGACTGCTGCTGGCGATGCCAGTGTACGAATGTTTATCGTCCCACATGTACAGTAAGTGCGTGTTGAGTGGTCAGCAAAATGCGTGGATTCGTTATGTCTGGTTATGACACAGCGGAACCCTGACCATGACAATGGTGGAACTATCTGCATGAAAAAAAAATAGAAAAGACATGGAATTCAAAAAGGGTGCGCCATAAACTCCCATGGACATGTCCGGAATTGAACCGGACACCTTTCGCATGCGAAGCGAACGTGATAACCAACTACACCACATGCCCGTAAAAACTGTAACACTTTGATAACTCACACCAGACAAGGGCTTTGTGGTGGAAGATTCCAGGTCGATCTCGATCCCTCCACTTCCCTCCATCCTCTTTGCTCTCCTGCAGCCATCCCGCTCTCATCCCGTCCCATCCCATACCTTCCCCGCACCCACCCCTTCCTCTCAACGCACACACGAACACAAACGCAGCCATGGCCTCCTCAGAAGACTATGAAAGCGAAAACGAGCCCTACAACCACATGGACGAGATCGTGCCCGGACTCTGGGTCGGCGACCTGCAGAGCGCGAAGGACGTCGAGACGCTGCGGGCGAATAATATACACAGTGTGTTGAGCGCTATGAGGGGTCGGGTCGGGATACATGAGGTCCGTCCTCTCTCTCTCTGACTGGGTGCTGGGGACTGACGAGAACATTCTTGGGAATGTGGATTTGGTATGGTTTGGGATGCGGTGGTATGGGATGCGTTCGAATGGGATGATGGGATGTGCAGACGTTCATGCGCCATCAGATCATGCTCGACGATACGCAGGACGCGGATATACTGCAACATCTTATTCCGGCGATTACGTTCATACAAGCGGAGATCGAGAAGGGAAGGGGGGTGTTGGTGCATTGTCAGGCTGGCATGAGTACGTCCCTTCTCGCTATTTTTTTTTTCACTTCGTTCCTCGTTCTTCCTGGTTGGATTCCTCCTTCGCGGTTGGTCCGATTTATGTCTCTCGTTGTTGTATCATCGAGGGAGTGTGACTCGACCTTCGGAAGAGAAGGAGACGATGGAGAGGACCGTTTCTAGTCCATGATCTCAGGCATCTCGTTCTGCCTGAGAAAAACACATCCTGCGAGGACATCTATCGTCCTCCTCCCCAGTCAAGCCCTCTTCTTTGCCATACTCGATACCTCCACCCCATCTTCTCTCTTTCCTCGCCGCTACAGATATCACGATCCGTCCATCTTCGCAGGGCCACATCAATGTGGCGTGCGATGATTTTCGAAGTTCTCGTCCTCCCACTCCATGAACTCAAAATGCTAAATACATGGAGTGTTCAGGTGATAGGGAGATACGATCCCGTTAATATCTACGTTGTCCAGCCGAGAGGCTCTGTTCCTCGGTATCACGAGTCCTGCAGCTTAGGGTCAGCTTCGTAGAATGAATGCGATCCCGTGCTCATACCAACCACTTTCTTGGAGCTCATTCCCACTCCCATCCCGTATACATCCCTTCCCCTCCCCTCCTCTCTCTCTCTCTCTCTCAATCATCATACTAACCATCACACGTGAATCCAGGTCGAAGCGCAACGATCGCGGCCGCCTACCTCATGTACTCCCGCAGCCTCGACGCCAACTCCGCCCTTGAGATGATCAAGAAAGCGAGGCCTAATGTGCAGTGAGTGGTTCTTTCTTTTGCTTTTGCTTTTTTCTTTGGATCGTCCCCCTCCTTTTTTTTTGTTCTCCTTCATCCTCCGTCTATCTCTTCTTGTCCTTCTTCTCCCCTCCTACTCACGTCGACCCCCACTGACCTCCACCTCCACGTCCGCTCACACCCATCCACACCCATACTTAACACACACTCACATCCACATCCTCATCTTCATCCAGGCCAAACGACGGCTTCCTATACCAACTCGAGATCTTCCACCAAGCCTCCTACAAAGTCTCTCGGAAAGACAAAGCGACGCGCATGTTTTATCTAGAGAGAGCTGTTGAGGAGATGATGAGTGGGTTGCTTTTTCCCTCCTTTCCTATCCTGCCCTAGCCAACCCCCTCCCTTTTCCCTAACATTCACTATATGCATGAACGTCACCCTCACTGCGATACTGACCATTCCGCCCCCTGTTACACACATTCTTGACGCATACTCTGTGTTTCGTGGACAAAACGCGTAGATGGCGATGGGACGGCCCCAGAAACGACCATGTTCGCGAAGTTCCCGCGGACGCCTTCGGATTCGACTCCTGGGACGCCGACTGTAGGGCCGAGACAGGGACCAAGGAGGCGGATTCGGTGTAAGATGTGTCGGTGCGTTCTTGTCTCGCCCTCTCTTGTTCCCTTTCTTTTCAACCTTCCTCGAGTCGACAAGATCACCCAATTACCACACAAATTATGTTGTTCCTCTCCTTGCTCTTCAACTCGCTTACTTCCTTTCATACACATAAACATACATATACCTCAACCATCTTGCTCTCCCGAAACTCGCTAACTTCCTATTCATCGCATCGCATTCGTACTCGTCCTCGCTTTACCATCACCCACACCCATCAACAGAACCGAACTCGCAGCCCGCGAACACATGCTCGACCATGGCCAACTCGGCCCCCCAACCCCCGCCCACGCAGCCGCCCTCTCCCCCGTCTCCTCCCGCCGTCCGTCCATGAAAGAAGAATCGTCTCGAAGACCGTCTATGTCGCTCGCTATGTCTTCCGTATCCGCCATGTCTCCCGTGTCAGGAATCTCGTCGTCCACGTCCGCCCCAGGGAAGGATGATGGCACGGGTACAGGTGCGGGTATGCGTCCCCTCGCGCCGCTGAACCCGCTCTCGTCGGCTTCGAGGCGGGGATCGGCTGTTCAGTCTCGGCGACCGAGCGCGGGGGCGTTAGGGATGACTGCGATGACGCCTATTAGTTCTTCTACTACCTCCACCACTGCTACGACCGGTGGTGGACAAGGTGCGGGTCTGACGAGGGCGAAGAGTCTCGGCAGTGGAGGTGGCGGTGGAGCAGGGTCGAGAAGGCCGAGCGGTCTAGCGTTCGAGGGGACGGGCGTGTTGAGTGGGTTGGCGGCGAGTAGGACTATGAGTGCTTTGGAAGACGAGGAGGACGAAGAATTACCTGTACCTAGGGATAGTGAGGGTTCGCAGGCCAGCAAAAAGACTACTAGGAGCGGTGGAGGAGTAGGAGGGAGTGGTGTCGTCCAGCGGAGGAAAAGTTCCGGTGCGGGTGCTGGGGGAGAAGGCAGGCCGAGGATAGGGACCGGATTCTTTGGCGCGGCGTTGTCGATGTCATCGGCGGTCGAGTCGGATGATGATGAGGATGTGGAGATGGCTCCGCCGGGGGAGGCGCATCCGGCTAGTCGACGCAACGGCGAGAAGGGGAGCGGTGGCGTGCTTGGGAATGGGACGGGGTCGTTGACGAGTAGTAGTTCGACGTCGACGACGAGGCCGGATCCGCCGACGCCCATGAGCGTCGATACGAACACGAACGCGTCTGGTGCGGAGAACGGTACAGCGCAATCGACGTCTTCCACTACAGTACCCACATCCACATCCCCGCCCTCGTCGTCCTCGACTCAACAAAAAGCCAACCGTTCACCCTCTCTCCCTCTCCCCAGTCCCCCGGCCCTCCAATCCCCAGCTGACCTCGCCGCACAGTTATATGCTAATCCAAAGCTAGCGGCGTTGAGGAGCCCGACGATCGGGAGGGCTATGTCCCCTGGAGGAGGGAGTGGGGCGAGAGAGAAAGAGAGGGAGAGGGTGCCGGTCAGTCCGCCGATCTTGATGAATAATAAGTGTTCGGGGTATTTTGTCGAGCCGGTGCGTATCTCCTTCCCCCTGCACTATCTCCCTTCCTCCTCCCCTTTGCTCGCTTTATGGCTGATGTTCGATTGTGTGGTACAAACAGATGAACTGGATGGAGTTCTTCCTCGAGGACGGCAACCTCGCGGGCAAGATCATATGTCCGAACAAGAAGTGTGGGGCGAAGTTGGGGAATTATGATTGGGCGGGGGTGTGTTGTAGCTGTAAGGAGTGGGTCACGCCTGTGGGTTATTTTTTCCTGTTTTATCCCGTTATGATCACTGCGCTCTCTCTGACGATATTTTGTTGGGCTGGGCTGGGCCGGTTGTAGGGATTCTGCATCCATCGGTCGAAGGTGGATGAGATTATTGTATAAGCGCGACTCTGACCCTTGAGTTCGGACGGCACGTATACGCCGCACATGAACACAGACACGGCCATGGCGTCGCGATACTGGCAATTGACGTCCGACCCTATCTATCCGTTGATCTACGCGGGGTGTATCGTCCTCCATCTAGCTTTCTCTGGGTCCAAACACCCTGTGGCTGTCTAGATCTTGCTTTCATGATAAGTAGTATGGTTCTCAGGTTTCTGTTACAGTTCCAAGAAACGTCGCTCCTCTTTCCTAGCTAGCCTCCAACTTTGTATGACCTGCGGTGTTGCTCGTAAAATGCTTATCTACCTTGTAGAAATATCGCGAAGTCCCTTTCTTGTATCCCTTCTCCGTCTTGGCAAATGGTCTTTCGTCCATACATTCCTACGTACGCTCCGTATCGTATATAGTACACGGTACATACACGCTCCGTTCCTACCCTCGACTCTTCCCAGCTGCTTCGTACGTCCATTCTTCGCCCCAATTCGTGTTATATCCTTTTTTCCGTTCTTCTGGCTCTGGCTATGGCCGCTCAAGACATGGATGGACTCGCGGTGTCCCATCGATTCATGACGGTGAGCCCAAACTTGAGACAATTACACACCTACTGACTAGACCTTTGTTTTTTTTTTGTTTTTTTTTTTGCTTTGGCTCGTCTTTCGCGAGCTCGGAGTCTCTGAAACCTCTCTCTGTCGGGGGCCTTGCGTTCGTCTCGTGACATCGCCGCTGTTCAGACGCAGACGCTGGTGCGTCCATATGAGACAATTCATCGTTCTGCTGACCTTGCTTACAGCTCTTACTCGACAAAGCTAGTAAAGCATAGCGAGTATCTTCGCTTCATTTTAGGCTTGGGTTAGGGGTACTCATTTTCTCCGGACCGCTTTAGCTTAGTAGTAAGTCCCCGTCGATAAAAGGAAGCATAGGTTATCCATGTACGTGCTCGCTTGTTCCTTTGTCTAAACGTATCTTCGGCTGTGAGGTGGTAGAGATCGCAGACTATCTCCCCCTTTTTTGGTGGTCATTAGAAGATTTTATTTGAAGCAACCCTTCGAAAATGCACAATGATTATGGCTAAGTGTTTATATGGCACTGACACCATAATAGTGTTCGGGCTTCTGTTTCTTTGACCTGCCCACATCTGCATACGCAGGATCTTGATCCCATAGAATGCGCGGCATAGGATGCCACAAAGGTGTTTCATTATCCTCAACAATATAACAGGCTGTAATTTTGTGTCTCTGTCGGATTGGAGCCCGAACAGAGCGTCCAAAAGTACATTTTCGGTGAACAATATCCAGCACATCACGAGGTTGACAGATACCCTTCGGGTTTGCTCAAGGCTACGAGATAATTCACTCTGCAGATGATCTATATTTCTGCCCAATTTTCTAGCAGGAAAAAAGGTACAGAACCTAGGGACCAGTGATGACCGCCACAGTGCCGCACTCTCAGTTGGAGGGATTCCGCCAGCACTACTCCCTGGCCCCCTCTTACTAAAACCCACAGACGTGTGCGGAGACGATTTCTCCGCATGACCCTCTGCAGAATCCGTGCAGGTTGCCACGTTACCTCAAAATAACCTTTAAAAGTCCGATCCTCCCTTTGTCGCTAAGAATAGGTTGTCGGGCTGTGTCTGCAGGTGTCTGCTTGCATACGAGGGTTCTCCACGAGGCCAACTTGCTGCATCACTACACAGAGTTTCCACAACTCAAATTCGACCTTCCAGGATTCTTCAAACCCATCTTTACAGTAATGGGGACCTTCTTCCGTGCAGAACTTTCGTACGGTTCGTTCTAACAGTTATGACACTGCATGTACTCTGAAACTTATGAACGCTGTAGGTGTAACGTTCCTCGAAGAAAAAGAGGCTTAGTGACGATTAGGTGAGGCGTTGATGATGACATTTTCATGAGCGGCTTGCAGTGGCCGCAGAGTGAATGTCAGAGGACTCAGGATCGACGTCACATTTCCGGGGATGATCGTTGATATTTTCTGCTACAGATGTGGTAGCGTCTAGGTCCATCACGCGCGTTATATTTCCCGTTGCCTCTTCTAGGTGCATACGACTACAGTCTAGCTACTGACCGATACTAGCAGCTACTGTGACCTATCAAAATATGCAGCTTCAGTTTTCGTAGATACGACTGATCAATTCTCTAGCTCGACGTTCTCTGATGTCCAAGGAGATGTCCTCGAGTAACGACATAAGACAAACAAACACGAAGGCCTGTCCGTCTTCAGTTGGTCAGTAGCATCAGATGGAGTGATGAGCCGCTCGACTAGAAGCTTCCTCACTACCTCCATGTGTATCATCAGAGAAGCAAATGTTGAAGTGCACAGAACACGCTGGCGCATGATCTGCACAGCTCAGATTAAATTAGTTCACTCCTCCTCACGCCCCATCTCACACTCACCGCTGCTCTGAGTCGCAACAATATAAAAGCTGCTCTCTCTTGCGCCCTGAATTCCCCCTCATAACCCAACCCATCCCACCCATCCCACCCAACAAATAAAGCAGCCCTCGAACGTCTTCTTTGCGCAATGCGTCTTTCTATTCTCTTCTCTTTGGCGGCTCTCGTGGCCGCCGTCGCTGCCTCTCCCGGTGATGGCTGGGGCACGACCATCAACAAACGCGGAGAATTAATCTCTCGCCAGGACGTGAGTACAAACAGCGGCTCTCTTCCCTAACTCCTACCCCACGCTTCCCAATCCTGCGTACTGATGGTTGTTGCTTGTTGTATGCCATGTAGTGCTGCGAAGACCCTCCCGGCTGTGGCTGCCCCACTGTGAGCCCTTTCTCTACACAATCTACCTTCCGAATGCTCCGCTGACCTGCATATTTTCTCGATAGTTCTGCACCGGCGACTGCGCTGGCTGTTGCGTGAGCATCTTGATTTTACTCTCCGCCATCTCAAACGGAACGCCTCGTCTCTTCGACGCCGGCGTTTTTTCCTCTCCTCATACACTGATTGGCTGACGAACCTGATTTTCATTCGCCCACAGCCCTCCTAAACGGGCACGCCGTTGGAACTCAGAGTCAAACACGTCCACGGTTCGAAGTCTGAGGTACTATGTCACAGAGGGACTGAAATACTAGTGGTATGAGAAGTGGTATGAGCAGGTTTAGGAGCTGCGGCGTATGTACGAGTATGCATGATGTGCGAGTTGAGCCGCATAAATTGATGTGCTGTTGTTTTATGACGGGCTGGAATCAAGTGTCTCGAATGAGTCTGGCTTGGAAGACCGAGTAGCTCTACTGAAACCTCGCAGCTGAAAGTAGGTACGGAGAGAGTGGCCAAGCTCTTTGAGCATTGGATGCCTGCATATGATGATTGATTGGGCTGGTCAGCTGTGCTGAAGTGATGATGAAAGGTAGAAAGCTGTGCGTAGGAATGGCCGAAACCATTGGTGATTTGTATCCGTCTCGGCGCGAGTCATAGGGTCCAGGAGGTGTACTAGTATGATAGCACTTTGTAGAGGCACTTCACTTCGATATTTCTGGTCAGATCTTGCAAACCCTAAATGATATCGGCAGATCACCTGAGGGAACAGCTTCGTGCGCCTTTCTGTCTGGTCCCCATGCGCCTGTGAATCGTAAGCACCGACCCACACAAACAAAAGTTGACATTAGTCTTGCAGCAAGTTACGGCGCACCAAATATCTCCGCCTTGTATGGCACTTTGACGAGCCCTTGAAATTCGTCGTCCATAGCTGTCGATATGCATACCGAGCTAACAGCATGCACTTCTAAGTAGCCAAAGCCAGCCTTAGACATCCATTTGATGCCGCTTCCCGTTCCGAGCGCACAGACACATTCAACGTGTACCCGTAGAAATCAATCAACGAGATGTTCAGTATTGTCAGCTTACTGCTCCGCCTTCACCTTGGCCGTTTCGACCCAATACGAGCCGTCTGGGTAGTCAAACTCGTCGAAACTCGATGTATGCATCTCAACACTAAGCAGCCATACAATCGGTGATCTTGCAAGAGCCAAAACAAGAGAACCTCGTCTGACCTCGTCTGACCTCAGACGAGTTCAGACAACTTCAGGGTACGTGGTTCCCTTTCGTCTTCATTTGCGTGATCTCATTTTTAAAACCACTAAAGGACTGTTGTCCGAGAAAAACCTTCATACTGTTCAATATAAGCAGGGATCCACTTGTGTCGATACCACGTCAAGTTCAGTATGAAAAATTCGAGTATTTCACTAACATATAAAGTCTATTAGCACTCGAAATTCAGCCATGCACATCACCTCCGTTCAGATCCTGCAAGCCTGGAACGATCCTGTCAGACTACCTTGGCGAATAGCTTCGTCAGCCTTCCTGGCTGGTCCCAGTGTGCCTGTAAATCAGAACAACCGACCCACGCACAAAGAAGTCGAAATTAGTCTTGCGGTCGACCTCCAGCCGGAACTGAACTGTATATCAGTAGTCAATATAGACAAGATACGCACGCAATGATTGGCCCCTTCCATCAGCGTAAACTCAATCTTCCTCCCTGCCTCTCCTCTCTCCCTCTTCCGTACGTTCTCCGGCTCGCCGTACAGCTCCTCGATCACCCAAATCGCGCTTACGATCTCCCACAGGCTATCTTGACACTGCAACACTCGGATGCCGACGTTAGGCCACACCACACTATTCTCATTTTTTTCTGCTATATGATTTTTGGTAAACCCAATACCTTCTCCACGCCCAAACATACCCTCCCTAAAATGCGCTCTGTATATCTCATCCCCGAATATTCTCACCACCTCCTCAGAATGAAATTGTGCATATCGACTCCTGACGCTTTCGATCTCTTGTGGGGAGAGGCGTTCCAACGTAGCGATCTTTTCGGGAGGTGGGTTGGTTATGGGAGTTCCGCTGAGAAGAGAGAGATCATGGGTAACAAAGGCGGCGGGGTTGTGAGAGTAGTAGCTGCGTTGGTAGGGTCAGCGGGGAAATACATGTTAGAGCTACAGTAGAAAGAAGAAGGAAAGAAGCAGAAGACCGACGATCCAATCCAAACTTTGAATTGTTCCCATCGTTCGTCTCGTGTCGTGTTTGGATCGACCAACGGACGGTCGAACCTATCATCATGTGGGAAGCCTATGACCCATCGTGGGCCGTCTACACAATGAACACGAAAACAACCTCGTCAGCTCTATTATGACCAGATATCGGGAAAACTCACCATAATATACATACGTCCTCAAATACGGCTCCAATCCCTCCCTAACCTCCCTCCTCAACCCCTTCAAATGCGCGAATAACCCCAACGCAGTACCATTCGCACTGCTCCACGCCACCAACGCCACGCCACCTTCCTTCCCTCCATCCTCATTTTTTACTACTTTCGGAATATTTTCTGTCTTCGCAAACCATGCCATGAATTCCGCCACCTCGAAGCCCCTCGCCTTCAAGAAATCAGACTGCGCTTCGAGAGACTTAATTGCATTGTACGTAGGTGAGGTGGGATCGCAGATCGATTTGAGAGCGGAGAGTTCGGTGTCGGTGAGTGGGGTCGAGCCGGGGTAGTCTCTGCGATTGAGGAGAACGAGGCGAAGGTTGTTGGGAGCAGCGTAGGGAATCATACGGCGGAAGAAAGCTATGTTTGGTACGGCGACGCATGCGTGCAAACCGAGCCAGAGATTTGGTTAGATTGTAGAACGTGAGCGTGGTGGGGTATGTGTGTGGTAGGATGCTGGAGAAGCGAGGGACAGCGCACTTACCTCCGTGAAATGCGGTCCCATGAACGATGACGAGTGTCGTATAGTTCCCTTCCAGTGGGCCAGAATCCTCGTAATACAGCACGGTACCACTCGCATCTACAGGAGCCACAGGCATGATAGAGTCCAATCCCAAGGTCTATTTGCTAGCAGAGCCCTAACGAGCGCCAAAGTTTGCGACTGAGAGTTAGTCCTAATGATGGAGAAAGACCGGAATCCTACTAACAGCTGTCGCACGATGGGACCTCTGGTATGAGGAGAATAAACCAGCGTGCGTGACAGAAGTCTCTCGGTATCGTTGATTGAGTCTGTATATAAGCATCACTAGAAAACACATGGGTCGTTGGGCGCACGAGTCACCGGTACGTTGCTCGAATTGACTGAGCGCGCAGACCATGTTCGACAAGCAGTACGCATGCCGGAAAAACCTCGGGGACAGAGGAATTTGAGCAAACAACCCGTGGGTATGGAACAGAGAGATGGGGCGGTGGGCCCAGGATGTGTAAATGGCCAGCTGACGATGGTAGGAAGCCGCCAAATTGGGACTGGATAATGATATCGGAGAGGTTCAGAAACAACGGCGCTTGGACGGGGTAAGATGGAGGAATCAACCGAATCACGTCGATCTTCTTACCCACACCACATAGACGACTGTTCAGAGCACTCCGGAGTCGGTCGCTCATACGCCAAAACCCCCGGTCAAATGAAGACACGCGAATTCGACAAAGCACGAAATAAAGCCGTCACTGTCACGAACCATGAATCATGACCCAAAGCCAGTCCACTCCTCCCCATCGTCGCCATCTCCATGGTCCTCCTCTTTCTTCACACCTTTCCCCTTCTTCGCCTTTTCCTTCTTCTTGTCCTTACCCTTACCCTTCTTCACCGCCATCAGATCGTCACCCGCCTCCGCTTTCTTCACGCCAACCATCCCTTCATGATCTACATTACCCCACATCACGACGATTCATGAGCTACGCACAAAACGAAAGCAAGTGAGAACTAAAAGGACGAGCAAACTCACATTCCCCTCTGACGATATCATCCACGATCGGCCTACTCCCACTCGTGATATATTTCGTCGACACGCCCCTCGCGACGAGCGGTTGCGCGAGCAACCTCTTCAGCTCGGCCTTCATAGCGTTTAATTTCGCGGTTTTGGCCTTGAGTCGTTGTGACATCGGGTTTGAGGGGGCGTCACTGTAACGACAAAAAAAACATGATAAGGACGACGAACAGGCAACGAGGTGGGGAGGGTCAGCCGCCGTGCCGCCAGGACGACTGACAGCGCGGAAGGCAGAGCGATGGGATAGAATGGAAAGGGAAGAATAGAATATGTGTAAAGTCACGTACTCGTCCCCGCCGCCCAAACTCTCATCCAAATCGACATCCATCGCCTCCGCCATCTCCTTCAACCAATTCTTCTCGTGCTTCTCCTTCTTCTCCTTATGCTGCGCGTTCTCTATCTGTCTCGCAAGCTGCAGCCGCGGCTTGAGTTTATCGAGGAGGTGATGCTCGATCGTCATTTCTGGGATCGAGGACTCCTCTGCACATCCACGACCACACACACAATAATGAAACGGCTCATCAGTAACTCATCTCATACCCACACTCCTTCAATGGGAACTGGGAACAAATAAACACAACGACTCACCTCGTCCCAAACTCCCCAAAACCCCCCTCATCACCCTCCTCTCGTCCGGTGCACACATCAACATGCCGAACCCCTTCCTGCTCGCCCTTGCCGTCCTTCCGTTCCGGTGCACGTACGCGTCGGCCGTGCGTGGGATCTGGTAGTGCACTACGTGGTCTACGGAAGGGATGTCGAGGCCGCGGGAGGCGATGTCTGTGGCGAGGAGGACGGCGTGGTGGTTTGATTTGAAGCTGTTTGCGAGGGGGTGCGATGGGATGAAAGATACGGAGAGGGTGAATTGTGGTTAGCTTCGATATTACGTTGGGGACGGGGCAGACAGATAGAAAGAGGTGGGCGGAGAGAAAACAATACGCATGTACTCACCGATCCAGATTCTTTAACCTCTGCCTCTGCTCCATCTGCGAATGCAACGGCCACACCGGCAGCCCCAAGAACTCAAACAGCGGCAGCATCCTCCTTATCCCGTCCACGCTCGCCAGGAAGACGAGCGTCCGGCCGGGGTAGCGGAGGAGGAAATAGTAGAGGTAGATGTCCTGTTTTTTTATGCATGCACGGTGGAATGGGTAAGTAACAGGACCCAGAGGGAGGGAGAGGGAGGGAGGGAGGGAGGAGAGACCGCACCTTCTCAGTCATCAAACACTCGATCTTACACTCCTTCAACGTCTCCACGACCCCGCCCTCCGGACTGAGATCGACGACCTCCGGCTCCGGATCGCGAAAGTCGAGTCTCTGTAGGAGTTCGTCTGCGAGGCGTGTTCGTCAGTTGTAAGCCACGAAAGATTGGACGCGCGACAAAATCACGAGCGTAGGAATAAGAACAAGGACCCCGGCCACGAGGAAGAAAATGCGGAGAACTACCTACCCAACGTCGACGCCACCTCCTTCCCCTTCCTTCCACCCGTTCCACCGGCACCCCCACCACCCCAGCCCCTCTTCTTCAAGTTCCGCTGAAGGTCCTTACTCAACGTCGCGGAGAAAACGAAGGTCTGCATCGTGTCGTTCACGCCTTCGCCCTCTCCTTTCCCATCTTGTTTTCCGCTCTGGGGTCCTGCTTCTCCGTTTTGTTCCTCGCAGTCGGAGTCGAATTCAGCGCCATGCTGTCCCTTCGTCTGAGCGGACAGGCTGAAGTCGAAATCGGCTTCCGTCGTTTCTTTCCTATAAACACGCAATTAAATAACAATCTACAAATAAACCACCGGACCAGAGGGGGGCAGGCAGGTTCTCTCCCTCTCTCGCACACAGACGGCCGCTCTAGCCATCGTCGTGCAACGAAAGGGATAATCATCGCCCAAAAAAAGAATCAAGCCGAATAAAAAGACTCACTGAAACTCCCTCCTCGTCAGCCTCAACAACCCGTCAAGCTCCTTAAAATGGCCCGTCTCGATCATCCTGTCCGCTTCGTCGAGCACGAGGAAATGCAGGTGTTTGATGTCTTCGGCGAGGGTGGGGTCCTGTTTTTTGTTGAGGTAGGAGGGCGTTGGGAGGGCGTTGGGAGGAGGGGTGAGGAGGAGGGAAGAAAAGGAGAGGGAAGAGCGGCAGTCAGCATCTATTCCATTTCCATACCATTGAAACAAAACAAAGAGAGAACGAGCGACGAAAAGAGAGAAAACAAAACCAGAACCAGGCGATGAGACGAACTCGCGTGGGCCGAGCTCGATATCGAATCAAAGGAAGTTAAAGGTAGGCCAACACCTCAAACCCCTAACAAGTCCTGAACACGCACACACTCACAACCCGCCTCCCTCCAAAGTAAAACCGCAAAAAAACCCAACAAATCCCAAAACCGAAAAACCAAAAACTTACCTCCTCAACAACATCCCACAACCTCCCCGGCGTCGCAACCAACACGTCCACACCCCTCTCCAACACCCTCTTCTGTTTCTGCGCCGACATGCCGCCCACGATGGCCGCTACGCTCACGAGCGGGGGTGCCTTGGCTTTCGTCGTTTCTTTACCCTTGCCCTTCCCGTTTCCACTCACCTTACCCTTCTTCCCGCCTCCGGCTTTACCGTTGGATTTCCCGCCCTTCACGTCCTTCCCCTCCCCCTGTTCAGGAACGCCCCCCTCTCCATCCTCATCCTCCACTTTGATTCCGACGCCCTCCCCAGAATTAGAACTAGACTGATAAACCCCATTCAAACACCCATTCAAATGCGCCGAAACCTGTAATGCGAGTTCGCGCGTCGGGGCGAGTATGAGTGCGCGGAGGGGTCTTCTCGTCTTTTTCTTTTGAGTTTTCCTTCCTGTCGTGTTTTCTTGCTTGACGTTCGTGTTTTTGTTTTTGATGACGGAGTGGGCGGGAGGGAGAGAGGGGGGAGATGGAGAGGAAGTGGAAGTGGAAGAAAGGGAAGTGGAAAGATGAGAGGGGGGAGAGGAAGAGGTAGCGGCTGTGAGGAGACGAGAGAGGATGGGGAGACCGTAGGCTAGGGTTTTTCCGGAGCCCTGTTTTGTTTTTCGATTTTTATGTGTCGGTCGATTCGAGTTGATGGGTTCGGGTTGGCGGACGCAAGGGATAGCAGAATCAGAATCAGAATCAATACCAGATACACGGATGGACGAGAAATGAAACAAAACCCAAAAACCGGAAAACCGGAAAACACAACACGGGCATCACACATCCATCTCACCCGACAAACCAGGAAACAAAGAAAGAAAGAAAACTCACAGTCTCCGCAACACCAATAACATCTCTCCCCTGCATCGCCCTCGGGAGCGTCGCGGCCTGTATCGGCGTCGGGGTGTGAAAGGCTTGGGAGTGCAGGGTGCGGAGGAGGGTTGGGTGGAGGGATGGGGCCGCTTTTACATTGATATTGACTTCGGACTGAGGGGTGTCGAGGGTGGTGGGGTCGGTTGTGGGGAGGGTGGGGGAGGCGGGGTCGGTTGAGGTGGTGGATGTGGGAGCTGCTGAGGATGAAGAGGGAGGGAGAGAGGGAGAGGGAAAAGATGTGAAGAGGGCGTGCCAGGCCGGGAGGAGTGTGGCGGCTATGATGAATAATATGATTGTTGTGTTGTGTAGCATGGTATGGTGGGCAGAAAGGTTGTTAGTTAGTTTAGGAATACTGGAAAGCGGATGGGAGACGAAAATCAAGGTCGAGATCATATATGCTAGAGCATGTTCATTCGTGAGATCTCAGACTGCTGAGCATGGAAAATAGGATGGACATGATGAAAGCAGTCCTATAGCCCGATATTCGCTCGCTCGAACGGAATGTGGCCCATATGAAGACGCTCACGAAAACCGAAAAACATAAAAAGATAAAAGTGAAAAAGGATACAAGGACATACCATCGAACGTCTCGACTAGCTTCACCTCTTGAACCTCTTCCACCTCTTCTTCCACATCCTCATCGTTAGGAGCTTCCACCACATCCGTATCATCAACCACGGCCTCCTCGTCTTCCTCACCAGAAAACGCCGGACCCAAAACCGCCAGTTCCTCCTCGTCCGGCGGCAAATCATACTCCCCATCCCCATCCTCGTCCCCATCCCCATCCTCACTCCCCACCTCCACCTCTCCCCCCTCCTCACCCTCCGCGTCCCTCCCCCCTCCAACTCTAAACCTAACAACCTTCCCCCCCTCTCCCCCCTCATAAACCACCTCGACGCCCTCCACCTCTTCCAGATCCAAAAATCCCTCTTCCATGTCCATATCCATATCGAGACCTGCTGCATTGTGGGCGGCTACGGGTTTCCAGGGGAGGTCGTTCGCTGTGCGGAGGGGGGGTTTTGGTTTTGATTTCGAGGGTTTTTGTTTGGGGGTGTTGAGGGGAGCTTTTGACTTTGCTTTCGAAGAGGTGGGTTTCGAGAGCAAAGAGGCGGGTTTCGAGGAAGAAGAGGTGGGTTTCGAGGAAGAAGAGGCAGGCTTATGCTTTTGTTTTTTTGTTGGTGGGGAGGATAGAGAGGGGAGTTTTCGTTTTTTGGAGGGATGCATGGAATTCGACATTCCTTTTTTAGTTACAGTACAGTGGGCACTGGGCGAATTGAAGACTTGATGAAAGGTCTAAGGAAAGTTCAAAGCACTACGAGTGAAATGTGGCGCCGTGCTAGGCCGTGCTCACTCGAAAAAGTTCGAGGACGGATATGATCACATGTGACATGCGCGCTTAAGATCCAATTTGACCGTGGGCCACATTGGCACGCCACTCAGATCCCACGAACGCCGACAGCAGCACCTCACCCATCCCGTGAAGTTCGTAGCTTTCCCTATCATCCGCTTCTAACTCCCAAATACCCCAATCCAAACCCCTCATAGACGAAACACGCCACCCTGAAGACATCGTGCCGCAATCCGTTACAGTACAACACTGACAAGTCTATTGTTGCGAACGAATTCCCGTCCATCTTCTCAAATTCTCACCATGCATAGCCTCGGACGAATACGTCCCCCACCTAGCCCAGTTCGTGCCGCTTGCGCAGGGTCTTGGATTGGGACTCTATTAACATCTTGCCCGGGCGAGACCGTTACTTTTCTCTCCCTTGCCTCTCCCTCCCTCTCATTTCGCTTGAATGCATCCAACATATCCAACATCCAACGCGAGTGACTATGCGCACGGACCCTCCTCTCCCTGCAGCTGATTCCGCATAGACTAGAGCCACTAGCAAGCAGCTGACAGCGGAACAACGGAACCCAAAGCAAAGATCTGACGCGTGGTCTTGGCATGGTGCGTGGTGCGAGGTGCCAAAGTTGTGTTACTCACTGCGATGATGATGTATGGATGCTCCGAGGCTGTGCACTGGCAGGGCTGGCATCATCGTGTTACCGTGACTGGGCTGGGATCGTATCATATAAAGCGAGCGATCCTTGGGTTTCGCTCTCTTTCGTCTCTCTCTTTCGCCTCTTTGTCGCTTCGCTTGTTAGATTGAGTTCGTTGCCTGTGAGTTGTTCTAGGAGCGCTACTAAAAGGTTTCGCTTTGTTCCCTTTTGGGCTCGGAGACGACATATCGACTGCGTGGCGCTTGACTCGACGACTCTTTGAATTTGCTTCCTTCCTCGTATCTCTCTTTTCTTCTGTTCAACACGACCCCAACGACCAACGACCAACTCAAAACCCACACATAACACCCATGTCGAACCTCACCGCCCCCGGTACCACCGCCTCCTCCGACCCACACTCCCAATCCCGCCATTCTCCCTCCTCATCCACATCGTCCACTTCCGCATCCAGCCCCCGCCCCTCGCCCTCCCGAGTCCCAGTCCCATCTCTGACAGACCCCTCCCCACCGACTTTCCTCTCCCCCTCCTCCGCCACCGCCACCATCCCACAAACGCAATCACATTCCCGCCACTCCCCCTCCTCATCCTCCTCCTCCAGTCGTGCTCATCCCTCTCCATCCCCTTCACCCACACCCTCTCACACCTCCTCCCATTCCCACTCGCATTCCAACTACCATTTAAGCCCGAACGCCGCCGCCTCATCTTCACAACGCCCATCCTCCTCCTCCTCGTCCTCACATCTAAGTCCCAATTCCGCCTTACACCCCGACTCCCAATCACACTCACATTCACATTCGAACCGGCCCTCCTCCGCCTCGTCCAGCGCCTCCTCAGCGGGTACGGGTCCTCATCCTGTTTCGGGGTCGTCTTCTTCTGCTTCTGCGATTAGTGCTTCCTCTGCGTCGGGATCTGGGTCGGGTGGTGGTGGTGGCGCGTCGGGTTCAGGATCCAGTCAAGCCGAGCCATCCAACAGACAAGGGCACGGACAAGGACAAGTACACGGACGGTCGCCTTCAAGAGGTGCAGGTACGGGAACAGGCTCAAGTGGAGGAACGGGAAGAGTCTCGCCTCTGCCGGTCGTTTATGAGCGGAGTATGAGCGGTGGGATTAACAATGGGGGTGGCGGCGGGGGTGGCGCAGACTCAGCAGAGAGGGGAAAAGGGAAAGAAACAGAAGGGAGTCTCGGTAGAAGGGCGAACGCAAACACACGAGCAATGACATACCCTCCTCCGTCCTCGCCCTCGCATTCTCCTTCGCATTCTCCTTCTCGCACTCCGTTAACCTCCAATCCCTCCCACCCGTCCAATCCCTCTCAAACCACCAGCGGTTCCTCCACGCCCATTCCCACACCCACTTCCTCCACTCCTACCCCTTCGACAACCGCGAGAACGCCCCGACGCGCCCTCACCCTCCCGAACCCAATGACGTACATCCCACTCATATTTACGAAGTTGAGAGGTGCGGGTGCGGGTGGGAATCGGTCGCCGGTGGGGGTGCCGGTGCGGGTTGTTACTAGTTCTGCGGTTGGGCCTGTTTCTGTTGGTCCTCGTGAGTGTGGTCAGGGAGGTGAAGCGGGTGAGGGAAGTGGGGATGCGGTGGCGGGGGGTGTGGCGTCGGATGGGGTTGGTGGTGGTGAGGGTACGGAGGGACAAGCGCAGGGAGTGGGAGTGGGAGCGGGAGTGGGAGAGGTGAAGAGAGTTACACATGGGGTTTTGAGAGGTACGTTTCTTCCTCTGTTCTTCTTTTTTTTCGATTGTGTTGCTCGTTCTCGTCGAGATTCGTTATGCCTTTGCACCCCTTGCACATCTAATTCTTGGTCCCTCCATTTTCGAATCTTTTTCTCCACAATGGATCGGAATTAAGAGGGAGGTTGGGGTCCTGAGATCTTGAGATCTCGATAACCTGGAATTTGGGAATTTGAGAGATATCCCTTGTCGTTCGTCGTTCGTCGTTCGTCGTGTGTGGCGTGTGGCGTTAGACGCACGCCTGCACGACAGATGGGTCGGGCTTTTTTTTTTTATGTTTTCTGTTTTGTTTTCGGTGGTGTACTTTCTCGTGGTGAGACGTGAGCTGGGGCGCAACACGGTGCTGTGTTGGGCCATACCGCGGCTTTATGTCCTTGGATTGTGAGTCGTGAATCGTGCATTGTGGTTTGGTATTCGCTCAATCCACGATCCATGACCTACGATCCCGACTCACAACTCAACGACGATATGTATGGACCACCTTGTCCGGGTCCTGTCATATGTGCTCGACCCCACTCGACTCGACTCAACCCATTCCATTCCTTTCCTCCTCTCCTCATCTCATCTCATCTATCCGTATCCGTACATGCGTGACATCCAGCCCCAAACTCCAATCCCCATTCTCAGCACTTAGTTTTTTCGATTGTTATAATTCCGAAAAAAACCCAAACCCCTACCCTTTGTTCTGACTGACTGACTGACTGACTGACCGACTGACTGACACGAAACCCTTTATTTTTCTCTTCATATGTATTCCACTCGATCCTCGACTACCCAACCTAACCTCCACCCCCCACCAAAACCTAAACTCCATCCCGCGGGTCCCTCCCTCCAAAAAAAGCCCCAAACACGATCCTCAAAAAATCCCCTACCCCGCTCACCACGCACTCAACCTTCCTCGTCCGGGACGCAGTCGACGTCGGGACTCTGGTACGTGCGGTTAGGAGGGGGATGTTGCTCGACCTTGGTGTGGACGCTATTGGTGCAAGTGGGAGTATGGATGCATTTGGAGGAGGTGGCGGTGGCGGTGGGATGGGAAAAGGTGGGAGGGGAAAAGAGGAAGAGAGGATAGGGAGGAGTTTGGGGAGGGGTGTGGCGAGGATTGGTTCTGGTGCGATTCCGATGAGAGGAGGCGGGCCGTCGAGGGCGAGGGGCTTGTTGGAGGTGCCAGAGATGGACGGTGGGTTAGGAAGGATAGGGGAGGGAGGCGGAGGCGGAGCGAGAGATGGGGGAGGAGGAGGAGGGGGAGGAGAGTACGTTGTGTTGGTTGATGAACGGTATGTCTTCTCTCTCTTTTCGTATTCGCGTTCTTCGTAATCCGTATTCCCTCCGAGACATACATACTGACACTCCTCTCCCCTCCCCTCCCTCCTACCCTCCCCACACATTTCCATAAACACAGCTGGACCTGCACCCTAAAAGGTCCCAAACCGCCCCACTCGACCTATCGCGTCGAGATCGAGTACTCCGCCTTTCCCGCGCTCGCTTCGGTCCCGGATCCGCAGAGACCGGTGGGGATGAAGCGGGCGATTAGGACGGCGGGGTTGATGACGATTTTGGAGAGGGTTGGGTAGGGGTGAGGTTGGTGAGTTTTAGTCTATGGGTTGGTGGTTGGTGAATTGGGTGGGGATGGCGATGGCGATCTGGGTGGGAGTGAGCTGGGATGTGCTTGCAGGGAGGGAGGGAGGAGCACGATCATGTCCACGGTCTGGTCTTTCTTGATCCTTGATTCTTGATCCCTGGTTCTTGGTTCTTGGTCCGATAGTTCGTGATACACATGTATATCCACGTACAAACACAGGCAGAAGAAAGTTATACTAGACCTTGGAGATCGGTCTGTGCTCGGGAAAACTCATTTTGTGCTGCAGGACGGTTATGGTCTGTGGTTGTTGGCCAGCTACATATTGGTGAGTTTCTTGAAGGAGACCCAAGCTCACAGGTGTACGTATGTTGCCCATTATGACCTTCGATCCTCGGTCTATACGAGAGATGTTGTCTTCCATTTCAGCCATCAATAATAAACCCAAATATTCTGGTCTCGGTGTCATCTGAATCCCTCTTTCTCTATGAACATCCGTATAAACTATTCGCTACGAATGCCAGGCTGCTCTTCTTGCATAGATTACTTTCATGCATATCATTCAGACATATCACCTTGCGATTGTCTATGTTGTTATATCCGAACCACTGGCAACGCGCGGTGTCATCCGCCATACTCCGGACCAGAAACAGAAGAAGAAAGGAGGGGAACAACCGTGTACAGTATTCATCTTTGGATTCGTCTTCCGCCCCGAGCCCCCAATCAGTAATCGCACAAAGCTGACAACTGGAAAATCTTATGAGAGAATACAAAATCCCATAACGCGACGCCACCCGTGCATCCCATAATTCATTCGAACCTACCACCCTGACCATTCAATACGATACACGATATCATAGTCAATTATCACCACCTGAACCGGCGGCGGCCCCAAAACATGTGCTATGACACCCACCTGCGTTCGTGTCGGCCTACGTTGAGGCTCGTACGCAGCTCGGATAGGCATTCGAGGCGAAACTCGACACCCTTACCGTCTGGGCCTTCCCACTGGCGACCGACGTAAGTATCCGGGTCCGAACCTTCCGCCTAGCTATCGACCAAGACCGACTTCAGCCCGACTCGAGCTTCCCAAGAGCGCCTGTGACGAAGTTCTCGAAAAGCAAGTATGTAGTGTTGTTGACAGCACTAGCATCATAGTGGTCGTAGGTCATACTACCCTGGTAATAAGTCGCGTTGGTCTGGGACACGCCCCACGCGTACTTGATCCACTGGCAAGGATTCACCAGGCTCGTGTTCAACAAAACATCTAAGATGTAGTGATACAGACACATGTAGAGCAGCACAAAGCGTTCACGAGCTGGAACATAGCGCTGGAGAGGGGTCAGTTCAAACGGATGGGCGGTCACGGCGTGTCCGACCTGAAAGACGACGACTTCGAAGATTCCGCGAAGTATCGTGAGTTTCGTGATGAAGAGTTTCATAACATATAGCCAGATGTGTTGGCTTACGACAAAGTGTTCGGCTATTGTAATCGGTGGTTAGATGACAGCGTGAGGGAGAAAGAAGGAAGAGGGGTCCGAGCGCATATAAACGTTTTGTGTGACACAGGCTTGTGAGCCAGAGCTAGAACTTGAAGAGTGAAGACCCTGAGCTTCGAGTCAGTGGTGTGAGAGACCTCTCGAAGGCGGAGAGTGAGCGCTAAGAATGGAGGTGTCTCGGATGACCTACAGACAAGCAGTAGTGAAAAGGCAAGCAAATAGCATAGATCAAGATTGAAACATAGCATAAACTCGCACACAGCCTAAGCAAGAGAAGAGACCGGGAGAATATGGAGAAGGAAACGAGAGCATAGTGGGAGAAGAAAACGAGAGCATGACTAGACTTTATCCATCGGCCCACTGCTGATCACAGTCTGGTAATCAGTACCGTATATCATTAGCAATCTGGTTTATATTTGGGTGTTAAATCGTCGATAAAGTTTGCTTACCTACGTGTTTTCGGACAGATCAGTCACTGGTCTATGCTGATCATTCCAGCCTACCCACCCATTGAGTACGCCCGCCACCATCGAGGTCGCTGATCCAAAACCTTCGCCATGAGATCCATTTCTTCCTGTGTCGGCCTCTTCGCATAGCTGGGGTAAGTATTCGTGAAATAACTCAGCACCATCACACTCTCTCCGACCGGGAATACATCCAAGTCAAGTGCCGGACACTCATCCTTCGCCGAGCTATCAACCAGGGCTAACTTCTCCTCTGGTACTAAGGCCGGTGTCAGTCGAAGATCTGGCACTCGGGGAACTGATCCTCCCGGGCCATTTGCCGAGACAAACAAGTACGACAGGAGCGTCACCTTGTTAGGCCCGGCCGGTGTCGTGCGAGGCTTGCAGCTCTCCCAGAGGTCAGGATCCATCAAGAAGCCGTAGTAAAAAACGGGCATGGCGATGCCAGCCTTCTCGAGCTCGATCATGTTGCCAGACAAGGGACAGTCACAGAGATGAGCGGTTTCGCGCTCCATTCCTGGCGGGGTAAGGCTACGAGGGGGTGGCGTCGAGGGCGACAGTGTCGGCTCTTCTGACAACTGCGAAGATCATTAGTATCGGGATGAATATGAAAAAGGGTTTTGTCACGCACAGAGAGGTGTGTTAATGTGCGGGATAGTGCTTGGGCCATTCGGATGATTGGGTGGTTGGATTATGGTGTGAGAGGGAAAGAGTGAGGAAGGGTCGAAGCGCAGACGCCGGTATTTAAGCGATTCCCATGGCACGCCACGTGTCGTTGGCACAATCTCGGCGAGGTGGCTCGGCGACTCCGAGTCGGAGGTGGCGCCCCAATCCGGCTTCTTTGTTCCCCATAACAGGCCACTGCGCCTGTGACAAGAGCCGAACAAGAGCACAAGGCACGGCCATTGCTCTAGTTTGGTGGGGGCTCACGGGCACATGTTGGACTTTGTACGATACTCCAGTCACGTGTCCCATTTACCGTATATATTCGGCTCAGTACGGTAGAATATACCTTGTTGGCTTCCACCATCCCGTCTGGGCACGTTAGTCCCTGTAAGGGCCTCAGGGCACGGCTACGGTAGCCAATAACACACTCACCCCGAAGTTTTAATTCCTTTCTCCAATGTAAGTACTTACGCGATGACGGCAATTTCCTGGGTTACTTATGTCCATGCCCAACCCATGCCCATCCCGAGCCGGTGCTACGATTTCTTGGTTGATGATGAACTGATAAAATTTCAAAAAATACGCCCGAAGCTCCATCGGCACCGGCCACTATATCCACAGGTGGACACTTTTGATAGGACACTTCCGCGATAATAATGTTGACGCGCCTTGAGATTTCCGCGTCCATAATTATAGTGTAGAAGGACTAAATATACGCATGCGAAATATGCGACGCCCCAAAAAACTCATAAGTATCTCGTGAACGGCGATAGCGAGTCATTCGGTTCCTAGATACATAGCAAGTTTATACGAAATTGCGAGTGCCACGGTGTCCGCGGGAGCAACCATCTCCGTCTCATATAGCCCATCTATTATGCTTTCTGAGTTCTTCCCCGCGATAAAATATCCAGATCGGAAAAGGGATGCCAAGCACGAGCATTACACCTGCGAGAAACGTATATGTACCTCCGAGACCCATTCTAGCGATCATGGGTGGGCCAGCCAATGGGAGAGCAAAACCGAATGCGAATCTTAACGCACTGGAAGCTGCTAGCGCACTTGCCGCATACCTGAAGAACAGAAAATGTAAGCGAAGCATAAGGAAAGTGCTGGTGCAAGGGAGGGTGCTACCGGAACGAGTCGACAAGATACATCTGTATTGGGACGAGAGTGGCGATAAGCCCGTAGCCAAAGATCGAGGAACCGATGATGGGCATGATCCAGTGAAGCCTCGCTTCTGCGGACCATCCGTACCAGAGGAGGCCGATTGGGACGATAGCCGCCCCAGGTAACATCGGAGGAATTCGATATTCAGGCTTCGCCTGTCCATCGTTTTTGAGGACCAGCTATTTTAAAAGAAAAGCGGAGACAAAAAAAGAAGGAAAGGCTTCAGCCATAGAAATCGTTCCGAAGGCAATTTGAATGTTGTGACGCTCACAGAGTGATAAATCTTGTCAGCGATATAACCACCCAGTACCACAGCTGCGATCTCCCCGAGTCCGCCCCCGATATACGTGAGGCCAGTCGTCCCCACGCTGAACCCGTATTCGTCGCCGAACACGGTTGGGAACGTCGTAAAAAACATGATCAATATGCCATAGATTCTACAAAAGAAGACGTAGTTAGTTACGAGGACGCAAAATGGTATTTACAGGCGTACACGGCACCATAGAGACTAAGAATGAAGCAGACAAAACTCTGAGTAAGATGCTGGATAGGGCGCGCCAAACCCAACCACAGAGTCCTCCATGCGTCAACTTCGGCTTCTGTGACTGGCTGTAAAGCTTCGTTAACGGCGGTGGCCAACTTTTCGGACGTCGATGAACGACGTCTCTCAAGATCGGAGGGCTCGGTGTGAGTTGATATGGCGCCGGAGAGCTTCTCCCACCGACCCCGCACGACTGGCCCATACGTCTCCTGAAGGAACAGTGCCGCCAAAATGAAGGAGAGAAGCGCGAGCGCTGAGGTGACGACGAAGCTATATTTAAAGCCTACACTCTGTGCGATATACCCGCCCATGATGGGACCTGTAGGAGGGCCAATCATAACTCCTAGGAAAGAGACAGCTACTGGGCGAGCGCGTTGCGCGGGTACGAAAAGATCACCGATGAGGGATCCACCGACGGATATCGGTGTCGAGGCACCCAGGCCTGCTGCGAAGCGAAAGAAGATGAAAGCGCCTGTGTTCGGTGCGAATATGCAGGCAGTGTTGAAGATGAGGAAAATGATGGTCGAGAGAATGAGGATGGGCCTGCGCCCGTAAATCTCGCTCAGTGGGCCACCGAGAAGGGGGCCAACGGACCACGCAAGAACAAATATGGAAAGAGTGAGGGCGAGAACCGTCTCAGTTGTAATGTTATAGTGGGCGCCGATTCCTGGGAGGCCTGGCGCCATGACGGAGCTTGCCAGTGGTCTGCAAGATGAACGACAAGTCAGGCGCTATGGTCGACGAAGAGGGTCGGAAGAAAAGCCCTGACGAAAGGAAAGCTTGAAACGAGAGCAGGACTTGATAAAGATTGGGTGATCAGGCTCACGTTGTGACGAAAAAATGAAGAGAAAGCTTCTCATGCTCACCGACAGCGACCCATTTACGACCTGATGACCAGTTCAAGGGGTTCGATGGCGCTTGATTCCACTCATCGTCTTCACGCTGCTGAGCGTCAAACTGAGACGAAGCACGCTTTAGCGCTCTGGCACTGGGATCGTCGTGTACGGCAGTGGTGCAACTGGGAGGTGGCGAATGTTCATCCTCTGTCATTGTGAGTGAAAATTGGGACAGGATGTATTCTGTTGAGCAGTGGGTTGGGGCGCGAGGAAGGAGAACCTACAGTACGCTCCCATTCATGCACCCTTCTTATCATGGGTGCGGGACGTAGCGAATTCCGGACTCCGAGTTCCAGTGTACCATAAACAGGCCTGGTGATCATTGGATTGGTCGCCACGCCGTAAGGCTACGTCTCGATGAAATTGAATTTGGTCGAGTCTGTGACTTTCCGAGATGCATTGGTGTGGGCGCTCAGAAGTAGCGAGGCGGTCCTCTCCTCCAGAGCTGACCACGCGGTACGTTATCGATACAGAACCTCCCGCTGAGTTCAGCATACGTCTTCCATGAGATTCTTGTAGGGTCGAGAAGATGTGGATGGTCCGCAAGAGAATGAAAAAGACGTGAAAATAGCCGCCAAGTCTGCGGAGTTTACCCTTCCTGAAGCAAGCTGGGAGCTCGAGAGGATCGACGGTTGTGTATCAGAGTCCGTCCAACGCTGTTCGACTTCCTCGAGCTCCCTGGTTGCCACTGGATTGGAGCGGGACGCAAGTCAGTCAGCGTGTTTAGCTGTGCATCTTGTGGGAGGCTTCAATACCAGTGTTGCCGTGGGATCGACGATGGGTACGTCATGTGTATGTTGCTTGTCGAAGGACAGGAGAAAGCCCACGTTCCCGCTAAGGATCTACTTTCGGCGAAATTGAGGCCCACCATCGCAGAAAACGACATCCCGGAGGGATGACCGATCGCTCGATTCATACACATCGAACCTAACTGCTCGAGGTCGTTGAACACTTTTAGCCTGCCCTGCGAAAGGTGAGATACAGTCAGACGGAAACAAGGGGGTAGATCTCATCTGAAAGCGTGTTATGGATGTCAGAAGCTATTCAGACACCCACGAATGTCGCCGAATTCCCTGACGAATGGTGGCGCCACTCTTTCACCTGCAAGATTGGACATTTTCAGGCATGAAACCAAGAGATGATTGTATATAGATGACTCACAGGCGAGACACGCTGATAGATTACAGTCAAGTGTTTGTCAAAGTCGGCGTTTTCAATATCGCAAGAGGAAGATTCAAGGGCAGGTGAGCGCAATCCATGGTGCGTCTCCCGGGATGATGTGAATTATCACCTACCTAGTGTCCGTTTTGCGTTACCTTCGCCCTGAATTCTGACAAAAACCATGTGAAAGGGCGGTACCTCTACTCTTGCCTTCTCTGATCCGCGGTGTGGTTTTGTTAGTAAATCCAGAAAGGAATGTATTACAAAACATACGGATACCTAGGACTCGAATGAGGCAGGATGAGACAGCATCGTCATGAAGTGCAGACATGAGGGACGTGTTCGACACGTCAAATGAAGCGAGAAACTAGGCGAGCTCGAGGACACCTTTTCGATGTGACGAGAGCCGTACAGATCAGATGGGCGAGAGGTGCATGGGTGATGTGGATACCTACTGTCGCACGGCCGTTTGATGCATTCTCCCCCCGACGAAGACGAAGCGGAACAATCAGAAAATTAAATTCCGGACTTCCAAGTCAATTGGCGTAAGCAGCAGAAAACCCGTTACGATGCACTGCAAGGAACCATAAGAGCGTGTAAGCGGGTCCCCGAAGCGTTGACGTGGATAGACTTTCGACGGCCTCCCGGACCGCGGGAAGAGAACCTTAGAACTCAATAGCGAAGCTATCTTCGGACCACCTTAGTAAGTATCTCGCTTGTGTAGATCTTACGTGAGGCGATAAGTTATCAAGAAAGGCAATGTGCCGGGCAGCGCGAGAAGGATTGCCTGACTTGGCTGCGTTGATCAACGTGAATATCGTTCAAAAGCAGCGTCCTAAGCAGGCCTCGTACGACGAATGAGCATGCTCGTCAAGAATATAACGAGATGAGATAGGACGGGATTATGTCGTTCTCCATGTGTTCCCAAGGACAAGTTGGAATAATCAACTCTCTGAGGACTGAGAGAACGAGCAGTATCGGTTGGTCTCGGACATCAGGATGGTTATATGCATGCCTAGGGTGAACACATGAGTATGCACGATAATCTATGTCTAAGTCGACTGTCTTCACACACACTCTCTTACCATTTTGAGATGACAGACTCGAAGTCTTCTCCCTTCGAGAAAGCAACGGCGTCGGACTCCATGCTCGGCAGTTACTATTGAGACAGAAACAAAAGTGTTCGGCCATATGGATGACAATACCAAGAATTCGTGAATGCTCGAGATCCTCGGAAATGACCAAGCGCAGGAGCGCGTAATTGGGTCTAATGTGGGCAACGGCACGAAGGAAGCACGACAATCTGAGGTTCGCGTCTACCTCTGATCCGCTCGTAATGGGGTCTCAACGTAGTGCAAGAGTGTATGATGCGGCCCAGCCCTTACCGACGAAGGGCCATACATATTGCAGCCCCATGATTCACGAATAGTTCCGTCTGACACGCTGAAAGTGGTCAGAAGTTGACAAGCAGCTCGTGCGAAGGTCCGATTTGCCTGCTGTAATAGCTGTCGTTGTAGCCTAGAGTTTACCTATATTTCTATCATTACAAATATCGTCAGTGTTATAGAACTGTGAGAATGGAAGGCATCGAACTGAGTGGGATAACAAACTTTGAGGGTAAGTTAAATGACCAATGAGAACTAATACCGTAGTTCCTTCGAGTGCAGCAACCGCCGATTGGTGCACGACGGTTTGCGCTCTCGCCGCTGTATGGACTAGACCATGCTATGGCTGACCTTATGTCTTGGAAGGTCTGAATTCTTCCAAGAGATCGAGTGAGTGATAATGTTAGGGTTAGTAGCACTTCAAAGTTTTCGCGTACTCTACACCATTCCAAAGTGGGCCTTCGAATCGCCGACAACTAATTTGAATTGATTGAACCTTCCATTCATAGAGCAGAACAGCACCGAATAACACTCAGCAATATGATCGAGAATAGAGGTTGTGTTCGTGGAGTCGCAAAACGAGGAGCCTGACACTCCGAAACTCGCGATCGATGTCGTGGTGAACAGTAGTTGGGATGTGTAGGCCTTAGCCTTTGCTGTCTTTGCTCGAGCGCAGTTCCAAGCCCTGATTTTGGATAGAAGATCAGCGACACAACGTACATCAACGCGAACACGAGGTTACGCATTGCCAAAAGCATTGCAGAACACTCCGACGGTCGAAGGCTAAAGTCGATAGCTAGGTCATGTCGGTACGGAGTCTGACTGGAACTGAGGTCGTGGCTGGCAGCTCGGAAGGGGTTTCTTCGTGACCCTAGAAACAAATTTGAAGAGAAGTCGGATGCAATGGCTGCTGATAGTTAAACGGCGAAACAGTACCTCCAAGGAAATAAACTTGATCGCTTCTATGAGCACTGTCATCCAAAGCCTCGTTGCTGTACTAATCTGTCAGCACAACCTCATTTACCACTACTCTTCGAGATGTCAGGTCAGTTGTCTCAGTTCGATGAAATATGCGAGTTTTTAGTGCCGAACGGTTGAGGCAAGGGTCGACGAGAGGGGGCGACGTGGTGGTTGTAAACCACGCCTGTCCCAATCCTGCTGGCCGGACAGGCGCGCTCAGGCAATTGCCGAGTCGGAGTCGAATTGGGAAGAAACGAAACACTGTTCGTGTGGCGTGGAACGCCACAGTGGACGCAAGTATGCCCTTTCATGCTCCGCGAGGGTCTCGATATAACGACGGGAGCAGAAACAAGCAGAAACGGTACCAAGAAAGTAGACATACAGTCCCGCCACATACAGTACTTTACACTCGCAGTTGACTTTGGTTACGAGCGCATAAAGCATCGAATAATTCAAGCAAAAAAACAAACTAACAAACCTTTCTTCCCATTCATTCTTTTACCACGTCTTCTTTACGCACTCTAACCTCCTTTAACTTCTTGTCTATACATCTCCCCTCACTGACGTCCACCATGGTGCCCATGATGCCCATGATGATGCGCTCCCGGCATTCCCGGTCCTCCAGGAGGTCCTCCATACCCAGGTCCACCTCCCCCAAACTCAGGCTGCGCCTCAGGGAATCCCATCGGTGGTGGCCCAGGCGGCCCTCCAAACCCACCCGGAGTCGGGAAACCTGCTCCAGGTGCTCCACCATACCCTCCTCCACCACCGTATCCCGGCGGGCCTCCATACCCAGGTCCCGGCGGTCCTCCGTATCCCGGTTCAGGCGGTCCTCCATATCCCGGTTCAGGCGGCCCTCCAAACGACGGCATACCCGGATAACTCGATCCTCCACCGGGAGGTCCCCCGGGATAACCAGATTGAGAAGGCATAGGTGGTCCGCCTGGGTACGAAGATTGGGGAGGTCCGGGTGGAGGACCACCAGGGTACGCAGATGGGAAGTCAGACCCAGGTCCAGCACCGGGGAACGAAGGTGGCGCAGGCGAATGATGTCCATGTCCCCCCGGACGAGGCGACATCATAGGCGGAGGTGGTCCATTCGGGTTCGACATCCCTCCTCCCGATCCATAGAAATCTGCTGCCTGTCCACTCCCCGGAACTTCGTACTGCGGCGCCCCGGCTGGCGCATGATGTTCGTACGTCCCCCCAACCCCCACCTGTCCCGTCGTCTCATCCCTCCTACCCGGAATCGGGAACCCGCTTCCCCACCCGCCTCCACTCGGACCCCCACCACTCGACGTACTCGCCCCGCCCGCTGCACTCCCCATGAAACCCGAACTCCCACCCAGCCCACCCCCATACTTCCCGAACAGGTTTTGTGCCTGCGATACACCCGGGATGCCGTGCGCTTGTTGACCGAGATAACCTTGGAAGTTGTGCGCTGCGCCTTCAGCGGCGCCGAAGCCTTCGGTGTGGGCGGTGGTGCCGATACGGGTGTTGCGATGGTTCCGGACGGAGTCTTTGGTCAGGCGGGAGAGGATTTCGGATTTCTGAGGGGTGTTGTTGATCCATTGTTGCATGTAGGACATCATTTCGGATTGGATTTTGGAGTTTCGGGAGTGGAAGTCGGGATGGAAGCTACAACCAGGGAGTCCTGTTGTGAGTTTTCGAGAGCAATAAACGCGATATTCGACAGAAGTAGAAGACGTACAGGCATTGAAGAGCCTCTTCGGTGACATGCTGAGCGCTCATGGAGGTGTCATCCCAAGCTTTGGCGACCAGCTCGACCGTATGTTTCTGCAAAATATTACATGTACATCAGCGTCGTTCCTTTTGCTCAAATGTGCACTGAGGGAGTACGGAGATGCACATACCACGACTAGCCTCGCAAGATGTCCCGCAGGCTCGTTCAGGATCAAGTTCTAAGTAGCGATATCAGTCATGGTCACCAAATATATCACCAGTAAAGCTTGCAAAACTCACAAAGTGATCCTTCGAGAGGAACGAATGGGTCGGGTCCGAAGCCCTCGGGTCGTTGAACACCTGCGCCACAGCACGATATATGCGTTAGACTAGGACATCCATACTAAGAGTCTCGAGCGATGATAAGCGGGAGACGCACTTCGTATTGATCGTGGTTATTGATGACTTCGCCGGACGCAGCCATAAGTTGCGAACTTGCAGTCTTCAGGACAGGCTTGAGGAACGGCTGCAAGACGTGTTACCATATCAGCGCTCAACCCATCATCTGCACGGACGTAGAGAAGAAACACATACTTCGAGCGTCGTGAACACGAACACTACAACCCGAAAGTCAGCAAAGCATCCTCAGTAAAAGTCACATCCCCCAAGCCCAAACCAGAAAACCCACCCGAAATCGAATCCGTAATCTTCTCAATCAACGGCCCCAACCCCGGTATCTTCTCAATCGTATTCTCAATCTTCTTCGCAATCGAGTCCCTAAAGCTCAACACCTGCCAAAGCACCGCATGGATCTCCTGCGGACTCATATCTTCGGGCCTCTTGCCCCCGCCCACGCCCTGTCCCTGTGCCCGGATCCGCTCCATGCCCTCCATGTCGCGACTCATATCGTTAGAAGAAGAGGAGGGGAGCTTGAAGAGAAGGTCGCGGAGTGTGTCACCGGAGACGTCGCTGCCTGAGACAGAACGGGAACGGGCGGTGGAGAGGGCTTTGTTGAGGTCTGAGACGGAGGCCTCGCTCTGTTCAACCAACATTAAAAGACAATTAAGTTAGCATCTTTTAGCAGGCTTCCTGAACTCTGACTATGTTGTGTGGAATGGAGTAGGAGTAACGCACGATATGATCCGTCGCCTCCCCCAACAAACTATGTATGAAATCGCTGCTCCCAAACGTCCCAGTCACCAACGGCGCGACGCTCTTCCCGTTAGGAGCCTGCAAGCGCACATGGTCACCGACGTGGACAAAGACGTCGTGATAGCCCATGTTGACCAGCGCGAGCTCGCAGAAGTTCGAATGTGCGGAGAAGTCTTCGAGGGTATGGAGCTGTGATATGATGACAATGCGAAAGAGTGAGCGAACAAGTAAATCGTAGAGCGGACGGCAGTATAATCGGTCATGAGCGATCATCAGACGAGATATGGATAAATGGAAACTATTGCGAATATAAATGCATGACTAAAAGTCCAAAAAACTCACAGACTGCCCCAAAAGCCTATACGCCTCATACTCGTCCTCCTTCCTCTTGCTCGCGCGATGCTGCCTGCCCATCTGGATACACCTCTCCAACGTGCGTCTCACGAGGGCTTTCGAGGTGTCCCAGTTGCCTTGTTCTATGAGGCGATTGACGTCAGGATGAAGGCGCACGTTCGGAAGAAGGTAGGAGAAGGTAAGGAGAAAGGTATAAGGACGCACCATTCGCAATATAATTCTTCATACCCGTCCTCGGGTCGACCTCCAGCTCGCGGGGCTAATCTCGAGCATCAATCACCCACTCACATACAAAGGACATGAAGGATGGAAGGAATGAAGGGTGAACATACATCAACAGGCCCCCTCAACCGCCTATCATACTGCCTCGCGTCTTCGCCCTCTCCGTAGCCTTTCGGGTTATCGATATGTTCCGTCTACAGCACAGTGCATCATGACATGTCGCACGGGGGAAGAAGACAATCATGCAGCACGAAGGAATTAACGAGTCGGTGAGTGGTCCGGTATAAAGAGAGAGGCGGTTGGGTGCAGCGAAATGGGATTGAATGGGACGTACAGGGAGATAAACCCCCAACCTCTCTTCCGTCACTTCGAACTCAGCCGTAGCGTACCCATGAGCCTATAAACAAAGTGAACGATACCACGCCAAGTCAGTTCCATATTCCGACACCGTGACCACGGAGAGTATAACGGGTAGGGCTGCATGTATAGGCTGACTTACGAGGAACCCGAGCGCCATGCACAAATTGATGATCGTCTACATGACATGCGTGGACAGTCAGTACGCGATACATTATATTCCCACTCGACCGTCGAGAGGTGGAATGAATCATGACTCGACTGACCTGAAGCGGCAACTTCTTCAAACCAGCAATATCGACGGCCTAATATGAACACATGAGCGAAGAAAGCCCGAAAGTCAGCTCCGATGTAGAAGGACAGATAGACACATATATCGGACGAGGTTCTGTGGGTCACGTACTTGACTATAATCACGAAGCCAGTTCCTGTGTGGATGAGAGATGTAACATTAGTAGCTGGAATAAGTGAAATGGACATGACTTGTAGTTTATAGGGAATAACGTAGGCCACGAAACGAGTGCATAAACGATTATATGGTCAAGACGCGCCGGTCAATGCCAGAAGCCAAGGAACCAGGCGCCTGGAGCATGACTCGCTCCATATCGACTCCTCAATACTCGAAATGGGTCCCAAACTGCCAGATCCATACCCTGGCCGGATGATACAGAAACTCGAGGATACAAACAACTCGAAAAACAGAGAGGAAAACTCACCCGAAGTACACCCTCTTCACGTCCAACCCTCCGAACTTACTTCCTCCTTTACCCATCAGCGCGCCTATAGCGAACCCACCGCTTTTCTTGGCAATCTCGGTGAGTATGTCTTCCTATTGATTTTTTTTTTGAATTTTTCGCACGAGTGCAGGGTAGGCGGTTACGCGAAAGGGAGATGGGTGAGAGGGAGGACGAAAATTGTCAGTGATGAGGTAAAAAGAAGATGGTAAGGTCAGAGGGTCGAACGCACGATATCACCATGCCTGAAGGCCTTTCCCTCCATATACGCGAACCTTCATGACCCAAGCAGCCATCGAATCCATAAACCACCAGAAATCAAACGCAGAGAAGATCAACATAAGCTCTTCATTGATCGCCGATGAAAACTGAGATAGCATAGTCGCTTGTGAAGAAATAGGGTTGAACAAACGTACGAAGGAATGTTCCCCGCTCCAAATGCGAGGACTTCATGGCCGGGGAGGCACACGACGAGTACTACGAGCAAAACAAGCCACGGGCTGAGATGGAATGACATCTCTTTCTTCGTCTTCTTCAACCTCTGGTCAAACTTAGCCTATTCTCCGAGTCTGCACCGATGTCAGAGAGATGTTCTTTGTTCAAAGTCGCAATGTAGCAGCACAAGAAGCACAGAAAAATAGGTACGAAAGACTGATGATCTTCTCGGAGACGATGCCCGGTGTAACGATGATGGTGGTGGTCGAGAAGAATAAAAGCAGGTTGTCGTCGGGCGTTCGTTGACGCCGATTATAAGATAACGAAGCAGCACAGGACAAGAACGACGGCGCTAAACCCAACGCTCGAAGCTGTGATTGGAAAGCAGAGAGGCGCTGGACAGTGGAACGAACAGTTGACGTCATTCGGTCTGCGCTTTGACTCTCATCGATAGAGTTTGCGTGGCCTGGTGGCGGTGCAGTCTACTACTGTAAGACAGATGTCGTCAGGAACCAGCATGGCTTACATAAAATTGTCCTGGCTCGCGATTGGCTGCAGAGGTTTCCAGAGGTTTCGGAGCCAATCACAAGCCAGAAACATTTTATGTAAGCCTTGCTGGTTCCTAACGACATCTGTCTTACTATTTCGACCCCAAGTTCAGTCACACGTCACAGGGACCCCCTCGGTGAACTTCATATGGCCGAGGGTCACAGGTCACAGGCCGCTGTGAACTAAGGAAAAAACCTTAGAAAATCATTATTTTTCGGGTCGCGCCTCCGGCGCGACATATATGGGCATTTCCGGCCCCTTGTGAACTTAAAGTCACAACGGCCCGCGGCCTCCGGCCGCTATGAACTACGATTTTGCCAAGTTCACGGCGTCACAGGTCACAGGCCGTGAACTTGGGGTCGAAATAGTACAGTAGTAGCTCGGAACGCTGTGGCCCAACTGCTGTTACAGTGGGCTCAGCGTCGACAATAAACACTGCACTGACCGGAAAAAATGCTTCACGGGGAGCTAATACAAAAGACGATGATGACGAACGCCCCCCTCAAAAAAAACGCCGAAGACCAAACACTTCATACAAGGCCCTCTACTAAAGTAGCGGGAATAATGTCAAGGCCGCGTCTGGCACCTAATGATTCTTCCAGTCGAACGAGCCGTCAGGATCGTCTCCGAATACTAGTCCTACCCCCGTATAGGTCGAACGCGTTACGCCTGACCTATGCGCAGGCCCACTCTCCCGCAACATGCTTGCGCTCAGAGAGGCCGGAATAGAACTACCTGTCTACTACTACGGCTACTTGATGGACGAGCAGCCCGAAGGATTCCTAGATTATGCCCGAACCTACGTTCATCCCGACTGTGTCCACGAATGGTCCACATGCGACCTCTTCTTGCTCTGTCTCAGCGAAATAAAAATCGATGGAAACCTCAGACGAAAGCCGGAACCGAAGATATGTTGGGTGGACAGTTATGCGAAGGAAGAGTATCCGAGGGTGGATAAGCCGGTGGGGGGACCGTCGTGGTGCTGCCCCTATTTTCGAATAGTCGCTCGAGTTATCGTCGGAGGCCGACGCAGGAGCAGGTGGATAACATGTCGCGTCTTTTGAAGCAGAAACCGAGGTGGTGGCATGCGGAGCGCATGTATAATACAATGTAAGGTCTCGCGTGTCGTCGTCCAGGTCAGCTTGTCTTTCTTTCTTTTTCGTCTTGTATTAACTGACCTCATTTTCCGTCGAACAATTGAGGGCAGGCATTCTTGGCACTCATCTATCGGGGAAGTTCTCGCAATGGCGGCCCATTTTTTTTTAGCCATGTTGAATATGTACGGGACGAACGATCGCCTAAGGACACAACGGCCATTCCTTATAGACGACGTTCGTCTCCTGATCCCAAGAAGAAGGCACGTTAGACGGATATGTTCGATGATGCCCCTTTTGCATTTTATCTAATGATTGTATGATGATTTTCCTGTGACTCGAACAAGTTGTGTGCTGTTATTCAAAGGTGTATGCCAAATTCAGGCCGAATCCATCAAGTGTTTGCTTTGTTTTTAGAAGTTGTAATGAGTCTCGGGCAAAGATCATCTAACGGGCCCCTATGTATTGAAAACTGCTTGGTTGAGAAATAGCCTTGCACGCGTAAACCCTTCGCCAATCAAGGAGCGAGCTCTCGTGGTAGCTCCGACGTTTGAGACCGCTGCCATATTGCCTGAATATCGACAATGAACCATTACGAGCATGAAGAAGGACCCAGAGACGTACAAGCTCCCAGCGAACGTACCATCGCCTCTGCAGCATCACGCAAACATCGATCCAGCTTTGAATCAACCTCAGTATGGTGCTTTTACCTGTTGGAAGACCGAGAGAACTGTCATAAGAACATTATACACATCCCCTCCACCGAGGAACTAATAGGAACTTACCGCATCAATGGCCTTCTCGACCTCCTGTGCGAACAACTCACTGAACTCGATCATAGCTACGGAGCCCACCCGACAAGCCTCCTTATTGCACTGTACCGCCTTCTGCATCGCGAGACCCAAGAGTTCTCGGCTTTGGACGGTAGCGCCGCGAGGATTCTTCCGCAATGCACCCCTCGCTTCGCACATGTACACGGCCCACCATCGAGGACAATATAATAACCATTTATTGTCCGAGGTGCGATGGACCATACCGGCGATTAGCTCCTTCTCCATGGCTACTCCTATGCGACAGGTAGTGCATGAATTCAATGCAGTGCCCAGCGGGATGGAGGATAGCGCTGGAATCCAGCTCCAATCACTCATCGCTAACTCGCTGGCAGCAGCTCGACACTGACGATGATATACGTACAGCCTGTGAAGCTGGGAGCCCGTAATGCGATCGAGTTCAGATACGTATGGGAGACTGTCCTTCGCGTATATCAATGTCTCCTTGGCCGCGGTGACGGCGAGGTTGCGAAGATCGTGACGGCAACCGAAGGCGAAGGCCGTCATGGGGTATCGGGGCAGATCCTCTACCAATGCGTCAAGAATAGGCTGCGCGATGTCCTTCATCGCATATTTATCGACGCCGTCGTATAGCGACATAAGTGTGGGGAACGGCAAGGTGGTGAAGGTCGGCATGCGGACGGGGTAACAGAGACGAAGGAGAGGGTCGAGGATTTTAAATGGTTCGGCAAGGGTTATGACGGGTAGTCCATCTTTAGTCTCCTGATTATTTGAGTTGGATGAAGGTAGGGCGAACATAAAGTCAAGGGAGTCGGATGCGCTGGATGATGGGAGGGCGAACATCGAGTTGAAGACATCAGAAGCAAGGCTGAGGATGACTTTGTGAATTCGGAAGTCGACATTATCTGACGATCGTAAAATGCAGTCCGAGTCGAGGGCGTCGAAAGGAGAACCTGCAGGCATGATGGGGGACAGGCCCGTCGGTGCGGACATCTTCGAAGGACTCGACGGGGGCATCAAAGTGCTATCGGCTATAGAATCTTGTCACGATGAGTTGTTTGGTCTGATGTGTGCGTGGAGTTGATGACTACCTACCAGAAAGCGAAGGACTAGACATTTTGCTCGTACGCTGCTCAAGAGGTGAAAGAGAGACGGTCAGGGTCAAGGACAAGATGGAACAGCGCAGCGATTAGCACGCCTTTGCCTCACCGCAAGATGGCTGATTCGCTTCCCACGTCGCCACAAGAATTCTAGACATGTGGCACAAGTTCGCGTGGCGTGAAGCTCTCAAGATAGCCTGTGAGAGAATATATCACACAAATCGAACATTAATCCCTAGCGATGAGTATACGCGAGCAACAGAGCGGTGGTGGTGTTTGTCGATTAGCCGTGAATCTATGTCTACATCCGATACGTCTAACATGAAATGAAGTCTGAGCAATCAATTGCGTCAATGATAATGTCTGACCGAACGTGTGGTTGCGACTCACAGATAAATAATGATGCAAAGCTAATTTTGAGTGAGAATTAGTGGATGGTAGGGTATAGAACCCTGTAAACCGTTGCTCCTTCACCATCTACTTCCCAGGCTTCTTCTTACTCCCTGCCAACGCCTTCCTAGGATCCAACTCCGCCTTCCTCAACCTAATATGCAACGGCGTAATCTCGACCAACTCATCGTCTCCCATATACGCGATGCTCTCCTCCAGATTCATGATCCTCGGCGACGCGAGGACGATCTTCTCGTCCGCGCCTGCGGATCGGAAGTTCGTGAGTTCCTTTTTCAGGCAAGGGTTGACCGTGATATTTTGGGCCTTGGAGCATTCACCGATGACTTGGCCGGGGTAGACTGTGGAAGAAGTTCGTATTGGTCATCATTGAATGAATGAAGGAGATCCAGCGAATAGATGGGAGGTGAAGACGAACCTTGGGTTTGTGGGTGGATGAACATGACACCACGAGCCTGAAGAGGCGCCATAGCGTATCCCGATGTCTCGCCACGAGCCATAGAAATCAACGCTCCATTCCTTCCAGTATCGATCTCGCCCTTATGCGGTTGATACGACTTGAAGATATGGTTGATAGTCCTACCAAAGCCATCCGTTTACTAGTCAACAAACTGCCCGAACCAGGAATCGTAGCGGGCTCATAGAACTGTGACTCACCCTTCTCCATGTACGTCGTTCTTAAACTCCCCAGCCATGTACCCAATCAGGCCCCTTGCTGGTACATCAATAACGATCCTCACGAAACCCGGCTCCGCCTCATCGTAGCTAACCACCTCACCCCTCCTCATCGTCAACTTCTGAATCACCGTACCCGCATACTCCTCCCTCACCAGGATCGTACACTCTTCTATCGGCTCCAAAACCTTGCTCGGGTCCTCCGGGTCGGGCTTCATGACGGCTTTAGGAGATCCAACGCTAAGCTCGAAACCCTCGCGGCGCATAGTCTCAAGGAGAACTCCAAGATGAAGCACACCACGACCGCGAAGTTCGAGTGATTCGGCGGAAGGACCGGGAAGAACGTTCAGTGCGACATTCGTCTGTGATTCCTTCATGATACGTTCCCGAATCATCTGCGACGTCAACTTCGAGCCCTCCGTACCCGCCAGGGGCGAATCATTGGGAAACACGGTGATGGAGATCGTCGGCGGGTCGATAGGCGTCGTCGGGAGTGGTTGAGGGCCGGACTCGTCCCAGCCTTTAGATGCGACGAGCGTGACGTTAACGCCTCCGCCTTTGATACCCGCGATACTGACGATTTCGCCCGCTCCGGAGGCCTCGAGTTCGAAACGCTCGAGTCCGGCGCGACTGTAGAGTTTCTTGACTTTTCCGTCGCCGACTTTGTTGCCTTCGCTGTCGAGAGCCCAGAGCGTGTCGCCCACCCTTACGACGCCGGAATGGATCCTACCGAGGTATAAGACACCGACGAAGGGATCATTCTCCACTTGGACTGTGAGCATGGAGAACGGATCGGTCCGGGAGAGGTGCGTCGGCGGTGGGACGTGAGACATGATGGTTTCGAAGAGCGGGGTCATGGCCGTGCTGCTTCCTCCGTCCTCAGTGATGGCACCAGGTGGAGGTTCGTTGTTTGCTGGAAGTTCCGTTGTCGCCCACCCTTGTTTTGCGGAGGCGTAGAGGAGAGGGTATTCCATTTGATCGTCTGATGCACCCAGAATGGCAAATAGGTCGAATAAGTCGCTCTCGACCATGGCCGGACGAGCGGAGGGGCGGTCAGCCTTATTCATAACCACCAGAGGTCTAAACGCATAAGTCCATCAATAAATGGATGGAACAACGAATCAATCCATAACTCACTTTAAACCCCTCTTCAGCGCCTTACTCAACACAAACCTCGTCTGCGTCATCGGTCCCTCCGTCGCATCAACCACAAGGGCGACCCCATCGACCATACTCATAATACGCTCCACCTCCCCTCCAAAATCCGCGTGTCCAGGCGTATCGACGATATTGATCATATTGCCCTTATAATTCACACTCGTGCATTTCGACAAAATGGTGATCCCACGCTCGCGTTCGAGGTCATTAGAGTCCATAAGCCGCGTGACGAAACCATCGTCGATGGAGGAATCGGCGGTTACTTTGGTCGCGGTGGAGGTGGTGGCCGAAGGAGTGTATTGGATTTGTTCGAGGGCGGAGAGACGTTTGATGGTACCGGATTGACGGAGGAGTTGGTCCACGAGGGTGGTTTTTCCGTGGTCGACTGTGAGATGGGTGTTAGTATAGATTCCACACGAAATTTATCAGATAATCGGAGAGAAAACAGCCCGAGTTCATGAGGAGTTCGGTGGAGATACGAACAACATCACAGTTGGTGAAAAGAATATGCGTTACCCTTTCACATACCATGCAACATGCGAGGCTACGTGCTTAGCTCGGGTACACTGTGCGGCGCCACACTGTGGCACCATCAACTTCCAATAAATCGGTGTATTCGAGAATGGTCCCGAAACACAACTAGGCGATGCAAACAATAGTGCGCATATCAGTTCTCTCAGGAACTCCCGAAAGCAGTCACGCGAGTTTGTGCGGTATTGCCGTCAAGTGCAACACTCCTCCACGAGAAAGGCAGATGAGGTACACAGGGGAAAAAGGTACACAGGGGAAGAGGGTCACATGAAGCGGACGCTAATATGGTAGTGAAGTTTAGAACGAGAAAACTCCACATACCGTGCGCAATAATAGCAATATTCCGTATCCTCTCCGGAGGCATCATCCCGTCCTCGCCCAGCCCAGTCTCAGGAACGTCATTCCTCCTCGTTACGGACGAGGCGAACGAACGCGCGAGTGTACGCCGACAACCATTATACGAGTATGTCGATGCTGATTTTGATTTTGACAGAGACGAGAAAGGTGACGAGGGGATGGGTGTGCTCGGGAGACCTAGCGAAGACGATTTCGTGACATATTTTCTGCAGGTCGACTTGACCGCGGAGGATAACATAAAGATAGATGAAGCACGTCCAATTCCGAGCCCAGAAGAACGAATCCAGAGGCCGAGAGAAGATAATGAGACCAAGGAGCGTAGGGCCGTGCGTTGGCAGACAAGTTCAGCAGACGAAACTTCGACTTGACGCGCTGCAGAAATTCTGGCCGTGACGCGACGCTGGGGTGACAGGCCGTGACGAGCGCGCCGTCACGCGTAATCTATCTGTAACGCTCGCGCCGGGATTGGTCGGAATCGCACTTTGGTGGCGACCACCACCGAAACTCTTCAAGCTCCTCTGTGGTCTGCCTGGTATAAGCATAATATAAGGTCTGGTACAACTCTCTAGGCTTGGTGTTAAATCCATAACTTTAGGAGGGGCTATACTCGATCATCCTGGATATTTGTCTGGCTTGAGACCAGCATCAACGTTAACGCTCTCACTTTACTTGGTTCACTACCTCCTCTAGTACATGCGTTGTGCATTAGATGGAACCTCTGGTCTAGTGGTCAAGAAGTCCATGCCACCATTCACGATGACCCTGCTTCTCTACGACTTTATCTCTATTGCTGAAAAGGAATCTTCTGCGTTTCCAAGAGGAGCTACTGTCTCGTCCCTCACGAATTGCCATCAAGCTCTGCAGCCTCCTCTGCTCTTCCCGGCCATCTAACTATACCATAAGTCAACCACAAATGCAGCATCTTAAGACGTCCAGAGCTCTCGACAATCGAAGTTCGAGCCCTTTCCGATCCTCCAAGATGAGTGATCATTGTCAAAGATTTTGAACGCACCCCGCTTTCCTGTCAATCCCCGCGCGGCCCATCCCCGAGTTATCCCCTCAATACCTCCCCACTTCCCCCACATACTACATTCATCGATTCATCCCCCATATCATCTCTCGAGACTCGACAGATCTCTCGGCCCTCCCTTCTCTCCGCTCACCATCACTTGCCACCATATAAGTACATCCCAGAACGTCTTGGACATACCTCGATCTCAAGCTTCGATCATGATCCACCTGTTGCAGAGTTACTTAAAGTGTCGGGTCTTTGCAGAGCGCTCATCATCCTATCGCGACATCCATCTTTGTTAACATGCGAACATTCAATATTCAACATTCAATCTTCAATATTCTGTCAATGTTCCGCACTGCTACTGACAATACACCATGATCCCAACAACTCTCAGCGTCAGTCCCGTAACGGTACTGGGCCCGATTCAACTACTTATAATTGCAACACCGAGGTTGATTCACAGGTTGGAAAGTTCCTCCCGGATGAGTGTTTGTTTCGTACTTATGTGTAAGTGAGTACGCGCTCATGGCTCATGTAATACTAATACTAATAAGGATATTTCAAGTCGTTGATGGACCGGTTGGACGGTCTGTGGTTCGACTGCTCGCACCGGGAGAACTGTTGTTCACTTTGCTGTGAGTCATCGAGCGTTTGACTTGTTAACGCTGTGGGCATGGACATGGGCAAGGAAGGTTCCATGTCCTATTTACGCAAGGGCTTCGGTATACATTCGACTTCCGAGTGCTCGCGCAAGTATTCTCGTCTGTGTCCGTTCGGCACAGTCATACGACCGACGAGTTCTTTCTTTGCTCGCCGGGATGGCGAATCTATCAGGCATCCTATCTATGATTGTGCTTCGGTATACATTCGACTTCCGAGCGTTCGTTCAAGCGAACGTACTCATACTTACGGTTTGAAGTACGTATTCTCGTCTGGTTCCGTTCGGCACGGTCATACCACCGACGAATCTTTCATTTGCTCGCCGGGATGGCGAATCTATATCTGGGGATCTCAGCTATGATTGGAATGGCCATTTATGATAGGGAGTGTCAGGCAAGCTCAGGCTTAGGCTCTGTGATAGAATCAGTGGCGCCTCAGGAAGTACGTATTGTGTCGCTCTAAGTTATTGAGAGGCAGTCGAGGCCTTACAGTACTAGCCTCCAGTTTCGTTTTCACGTTCTCATCCTTACAATAGTACTCGTACTCTACTGACAATCGTTGCCTCCTTCATTATTATCTCGGTCCATAAGTATGGACCCACATGTACTGCAAGTTCCGAAAGGCAACAACCTCCCAACTGTCCTCTATCCAATCGCAAGTTCCGCAGATCAACAACTTGAAGACTCCGAGCGGACAATCCCATCACCCATCCGAGTCGGGTGCGCATGCATTTCGTGTGATTTCAGTGCAGCGGAGCCATCCGTCTTGGCGGTCCGTATCTTTCCGTACGCGTATGTTGTGTGTTCGAATTCTTTCCTTTGTTCTCAGCCGCTTCGTTCTTCGAATTCTGAGGAAGAGGAAGGAAGAGGATCGCTGTGCAGTGTGCACGGACTCGGACCCGACGATTATCGATGTTCTTCTCGGTTTCCGACGCCTCGATGCTTCTATGGAACAGGGTTTGCACCTTCAGTCGCGTTTGTATTCAAAAATTCAGGCCGTGCTCGATGCCAGATATCGATGCCAGTTGATTCAGACGCCCGGCCTCCGTGGCTTGTCCGTCAAGGGCGGAAGCTTACCCAACTATGATCGCCTCCCTCCCTTGTTTCCTTTTTTTTTTTTTTTTTTTTTTTAAATTCAATTGTATTTGTATAGCGCCAGCGAGAGCCAGGGGCGCTGTGTGTGTAAATACATACAACCAAACCACAAAAGTAACCGCATGAGGCGCCCGAAACCGAACCCTACATAAGCGAGACCACTGTATGCATATTGCGGAGCCTTCGGGGAAAAAACCGTCCGATCCTCAAGAAGTGGTCTGACCATGGCCAGACAGAAAGTGGCGAAATAAAGAGAATACCGGAAACACGTTACGTAGGAGCCGGGCACAAATGAGCAAGAAAATCAATCCACCGCCATACTCGCCGCTCCCTTCCCCTTCCCCTTCCCCCGCTTACTTCCCCTGACAGTCGATGCCTCCTGCCCTCTGTGTGAGGCCTGCCTCCGGATCCAATCTTCATCCCGGCGATGTCCCTTGTTCCTTGTTCAACTCTTTCACGACTTTCCTCAACGTGAGGCCCACTCCTCTCGCACGTCTCCTCGCATAATCTCGTTCCTCCATCAAAAAATACAATTAGGACGCGGTCACACGACCTCCCCCACATATGACATTCCGCATTGCACCTGCGGCATGCACCTCTTTTTCTTCTCAAGGAACGAGAAGGAACGTCGACTTGGAACGAATGAGGGAACGAGGAACAGGAGTGCGTGTGCTACGTCATCCGAGTCGTTCGATGTTATTGATTATTTGAATTTTGATCGAGTTGCCGCCCCACTCTGTCGCGATTTGAAATGGCTCTTTGATGATCGACCTTCGTTGCATGAAACATGCACAGAGAGCTCGAGGGCAGCTGCTCGCATCCTTAGCATGTACTGTGATAGACGGTATGTTTGAACTTTGGGGGGTGCGGTACGGTATCGCGAGAGAGGTCTACGGATGGGATAAATATGGCGAGAGGCGGGACGGGATGGAGAGGATAAGGGATGGTATGGACATGGAACGGTACGCATGGACGTGTTTGGGAGGGCGGGACGCGGATCCGACTCAAAGCGCTAACGTTTCGGCGTATGGATCGTCGAGTGACTTCCCGTCGGTATCGCATGTCGACGAGGATTGCGGTCGATCATGGTGCTAGTCTTGTGCGTCGCCCACAATGCCGATACTTACTCCTCTTTGGCCTTATCCTATGTTGTACGCCGACGACGTTTAGGAGCAGGAAACGGCTGTTTATATCTGCGTCGCAGTCGTCGTCCTCGGACTTGATCGTGAATTTCGCTGAAACGGAACCAGACTGGAATGGTCGGAGCGGCCGGGGATGTTGTCTATTACCGGAGCTTGAGTGGCTCGTTCGTCTCCGTTCTCAGTCGGAACACCGTCTTCTCAATTTTATCCTTCGTTCACACCTTCCGGGCGTCTATCCCTTGTTGTGTTGCCGTCTCTGATGGCGGGGTCCTCACTGCCTTTTCTCCTGCTCAGAGTCCTCTTCCTTTCGTTTGCTTGCACGATTCGAGGAAGTGAAGGTATCGGTAGATGGAGTGGAGACTTGTCCAATTCAAAGACACTCTGGACAGACACCCCTGATGACGGCTGCATCTCTGGGCCCCACAACGTCAGCGGCGGACGCTTATCCTGTCCTGGAATGAACGAAATCTTTTTTATTTGTTGGGTTGCGACCTTGTCTTGCGGGGAGAGGTCACGTTGCACACGCCAAGATCGTGGGGCGAACGGACGCTTCTCGATCACTTTAACGCCAGGCACGGATACAGAAGCCTGATTTGCTTTTATATGCGGGGACCCCACGGGGGTACAACTCGTCGGTCCCCTCTCCCCCGCACCCCATACTCCTCTTCCTCCGTTCCGAGCCCGCAACCATGACCGACAAGCAGTATGTCTTCCTCGTCGTCGACGATGGCGACCGAGATTAAACTGACAATGATGATAGGTCCTACGATTCCGAGACTGGTATGGCCGAAGAGGTCAACCTCAACAACAATATCTCGGCCAAGTTCGTCTTTCTCCTTGTTTCATTATGTTCAAAGCTGACCTTCCCTACAACTAGGATTCGCAACCCGCTCGCCGGCATGACGCGCGATGCCCTCATGTCTCAGGTCGATGATTTCGCCTCTGAACATGACATGCACGACATCACTCCCATCCTCCGCAAGGGCGCTCTCGTCGCCCAGGACCCCACGGCCTTCGAGACATTAACAGAACTCGAAGAGGACGAGAAGGTCGCTCTCAGGGAGGAGATCACCCACAAGTGGAAGCAGCCCAAGGCGCTCTACATGACGATCATTTTGGCCAGTGTAGCCGCCGCTGTCCAGTGAGTGAAACTTCCCTTTCCTCTCTGGTCCGGGATGCCCTTTTTGATGGCATCAGGAACGTTCGAACCCCAAATCTGACCATTTAGTTACGTCCATGTGCTGACTTTCCCGATTTGCACTCGTATAGGGGATGGGACCAGACAGGGTCGAACGGAGCTAACCTCTCGTTCCCTAAAGAGTTCGGTATCGATAAGAGCACCGGGGTAAGTCGCCGTTCACCCGCTGAATCCGCGACATGAATGAACTTTCTCTCATCGTTGCTTTTTTTGGGCCTATCTGTCTCTTGCTCCACTGCGGTGCTATCTCTATCGCTCTCCACACTCTAGGTTGACCCATGGCTCGTTGGCGTCGTCAACTCTGCGCCATACATTGCGTCTGCTGGGCTGTACGTCTATTCTGATACCTCCCTCAGTTGATATTCCGTTCACTAACGCAGTTCCCATACTATTCTCTCGCAGTGGTTGCTGGCTCGCTGACCCGCTCAACTACTGGCTCGGCCGCCGTGGATGCATCTTCATCTCCGCCATCTTCTGTTTCGTCTCTGTCATCGGTTCCGGCTTCACACAAACTTGGCAACAACTCTTCGTTTGTCGTCTACTTCTCGGAATCGGTATGGGCGCAAAGGCCTCCACAGTTGCACCGTACGCGGCCGAAAACACGCCAGCGAGTATTCGAGGTGGCCTGGTCATGAGTTGGCAGTTGTGGACTGCTTTTGGCATTTTCCTGTTCGTATTTTCTGTCTTTATCGTTCTCTTCGTTTGGCATCGGTACTGACTTTTTTTCTTTCACTTCCAGCGGCTTTTCGGCGAACTTGGCGGTGCTTGATACGGGCAAAATCGCATGGCGACTCCAGCTCGGCTCTGCGTTCATCCCTGCCGTTCCTCTCCTCGCCATCTACGTCTGCCCAGAATCGGTACGCATTCCTTGATCTAAAATCTCACACAATATTCTCATGTCCTCGTCCCTACAGCCTCGTTGGTACCTGAAGAAGCACCGTCACCGAGACGCCTACAACTCACTCCTCCGCCTGCGTAACCACCCGATCCAAGCTGCACGAGACCTGTACTACATTTCTGCGCAGCTCAAGGAGGAGGCCGCTATCATCGGCGAGAGCACTTACCTCAAGCGAATCATCGAGCTGTTCACCGTACCGAGGATCAGGAGGGCTACACTTGCTAGCTTCACAGTCATGATTGCGCAGCAGATGTGTGGTAGTAAGTGGCCCTCCTCGCAATTTGAGAAAGCGAATGGAAAACTGACCTAGACCTTCTCACATTACAGTCAACATCATCGCGTTCTACTCGTCGACTATCTTCGCCGACGCAGGCTTCTCCCCCAAATCTGCCCTCTTGGCCTCCTGGGGCTTCGGACTGATCAACTTCGTCTTCGCTTTCCCCGCCATTCGAACGATCGACTCCTTCGGCCGTCGCTCCCTCCTCCTCTTCACTTTCCCCCAAATGGCCTGGACACTCCTCACCGCCGGCCTCTGCACCCTCATCCCTCCCGGCCGCGCCCATCTCGCCCTCGTCGCCATGTTCGTCTACATCTTCGCCGCGTTCTACTCACCCGGCGAGGGCCCCGTACCGTTCACTTACTCCGCCGAGGTGTTCCCGCTGAGCCATCGTGAGGTGGGTATGGCGTGGGCTGTGGCGACTTGTCTTGGCTGGGCCGCTGTGCTGTCGATTTCGCTACCGGCGATGTTGGCGAAGATGGGGACGTTGGGCGTGTTCTGCTTCTATGCGGGGTTGAACGTTACGGCGCTTGTGATGATCTTTTTCTGGGTGCCGGAGACGAAGCAGAGGACGCTGGAGGAGTTGGATTATGTCTGTACGTATCTGTTCTCTCCTTTCCCACCTCTCTTTACTTCACAGCATCTGTCAATGATACTGACCATGGTGTTCCCTGGATACAGTCGCTGTCCCAACACGGACGCACATGCACTACCAGCTCACGAAATCCCTACCCTACTTCATCTCGCGCTACGTCTTCCGGAACAAATCTGCCGTCCTCGAGCCGCTGTACCACTTCGACACGCCGAAGCACCACCAACACCATGGGGGTGTGTCGACGCCACCGGTGGATGAGAAGGCGGATATTCGGGAGGAGGTGGAGAAGGTTGAGTGAATCGATTGAGCGATTGATAACATACCTTGCACTTTTTCGATCGACGCGCGGGTTTGTAAGTTGTGGATTGTGGGCTGCGGATCGTGGAAGGGAGGGGAGATGGGAGATCACGCCCTGTATTCTGCCAATCACGGCCATGCTGCGATCCTTGAGAACTTGGACGCCCGGCCTCTTTTCTTTCGTTCTTTTTGTGGAGAACGGAGAACGGAGAAAGAGTGAAGGAGAAAAAGTCGCTCGTTCGTCTTGCACTGATGTTATTTCTTTACGGTTTCTTTATGTTTCTTGCCTCTGTATTAATATGACCGTTACGTTTCATGCCCTTTTTTTGCGAGTCAATTATTATCTTGCGATTTCATAATGAATAGTTCATTGATGTCTCGTTCGTTGTCGTCGGAAGAGGACTGTAACAGTTCTGCCAGTGCCGGCGGCCGGGTCGAGCCTCGCTCTAGTGAGTCTCCGATCCATGTCGGAGTGCCCTCACTATTAGCGCCACCCTTTCTGCCATACCGCACCTCAACGCTCAACTCTGATCTCCCTATAGCTAGTGAGGGCTGCTAATTATCTCGAGCTCGTCGCTACGTATAAACCTACCCCAAATTCTGGATGGAAAGACATCCCTGAAGAGACGGTATGCCGCTCTGCGAGCTGTGACTTACTCACCACTTCACTAACATCCTTCGTCTGTCGCAGCCAGTGCCATAACCTGATCGTGTCTGCCACTGATGGGGTGCCCCTTGAGAACGCACTGTTTACAGAGCTACATAAGAAAGCGGCCGCATCATCTCAGGATGCACAAGATTCTGGCAAGCTTGGCAGTGGAAGATTGCCCCGCGGACGGTGGTGCCGATAGATAGGCAGTTATGGCCCATTACTACTTATGCTGGCTGGCGAATGTATTTCAGGGGTAAGGAGAGGCATTGATGGACCCTCCGAGTTTCCCTGAGGCCCCTTCGTCGTAGAGTACACGTATGTATGAGACCAGTTACACTTTCGTAGCAACCCGTGTGAACTTCAGCTTTTTGCCACATGAGTGGCTGACAATGGCCAAACACGCACATACAATGCGTCATTTTCTCCGTTGACTTCACCCCCATAGAATCGGACACCGACTCTCATTGGCTTGCGCCTCTGCTTGAATACCTTTTTGCTATCTACTGGCTTATACTCCAATCCGCCAGTAGTGGAATTGATACTTCTTCAGCTTACGGTTTCTCGCAGTCGCGCCGGCTAAGTTACTGGTCTCGGAGCGTCTCTATATGCTATAACTGCATTGGGCTCTGAATTAGCCCGGTCTGCTGCTACTAGTCCGTGTCTCCAGAGAGTTTCACTCAGCCTATATATAAAGACTAGTCAACATTCTCGAAATTTATTGTGGTAGGTTTGGCTCCTCAGTCCCGCGTACACAGATCGTTGCTTATTGAGGATCTCACCTTCGGTTACCGCATCATTAGACACCTCATGTCCGATACAGTCAACAAGAACGGCAAACGTCCTCATGCAGACGGCGAAGAAGCCGAGATAAAAGAGGCAGACGCGCCGTTCAATGCACCCAGTGCTGACTTTATCCTTCGTGCCTTCGATAACGTCGACTTCCGCGTTCACAAAGTTATCCTTTCCGTCGCTTCGCCGGTCTTCGAGTCCATGTTCACTCTTCCGGACTCCAAAGCAGACACTCAATACTCCAAGGATGGCCTCCCTGTCTTGGCCTGCCCCGAACCGGCGGCCGTACTCGACCCTGTACTCCGCTTTTGCTATCCCACAGCTACACCAATGTTGACGGAGTTGACCACCCTGATGCCGCTCTACGACGCTATCGACAAGTATTGTATGGAATCGCTTCTGCATACAATCGAAGCGGGTTTGGTTTTAGCTGTCGAACAAGATTGTATGGTTGCATACGCCTTCGCATGTCGCCACCATCTTCAGCCGGTCATCACAGCCGCGGCGAAGGCCTCTCTCACAACACCTCTTCAAGATCTTCCCTTCGTCGAAGAGCTAGAGATGATAACTGGAGCTCAGTTGTTCAGACTTCAGGAGTATCACCGCGCATGTTCGAAAGCCGCCACACTCTCAGCGAAACATTGGAAATGGCTTTCAGTGTCAGACATTCCTTTGGGTAGCACAGAGGCCGGTTGTAAGTGTTGTGGGAGGTATAGTACGAAGGTGGAGGATGTGAAAGGTTCTGTCTTCGACTCGTGTCTCAAAAACTGGGGATTTTGGGCTCCTTTGTGGTGGTGGGATTATCTGGGAGCTATGGAGAAGGCGCTAGCGTTACGTCCGCGTGGAAGTACGGCCACCGACAAGGATGCATTGGATCCGTTCTTGAGGAAAGCGGCGGTTTGCAGCAATGAAGCTTGTCGAGCGGGGATCAAGACGTTCTTGGAGTTCGCGGAGACATTCTCGGCCCAGATTGAGAAGGTCATCGATAGAGTCAGTCTCCTCGTTCTATGGGCATTTTCCTACTCTGATCCTTTTCCCTCGTTGTCATAGGTTAAGCCGCCGTATTGAGCTTGTATCTCGGTGGAAAGCTGCCTTGGACCTCGGAGTTCAGTAGGTTCCGTCGAGAGACGCTAATCAGTAGCGTTCAGACATAGTTCGCATGGTCTTCCCCCACTCCAGAGTGTAGTTATACGATTACTTACATTGCAGTCTCTTTGTGTGACTGTTGAAGATGGGCAAAAGATGGGTATTTATGGTGCACTATTATACTGAATAATGAATCGATCTCAGGAGTAAGGAGACGCATTGATGGATGATGGACCCTCTGAGTTGTCGTAGAGTTCACAAATTAGACCTTACACTTCGTGGCTGACAACGGCCCCCGAACACGAACATACAACACATCATTTTTTTCTTATTCCCAGGAACTTGCAAGTTGCAACCAACCTCCATTCGCTCGATCCCCCTGCTTTAATAATCTCTTGTGGGCAAAATCGCCGGTCTGGACAAAGGCTTGAAGGAGGGAAAGACTGGGGTTAGCGCACAATCACGTTTCAAAATAGCCCACGCGGGTAGTCTCCAATAATCGACCAAATGCTCTCCAGTAAAACAAAATAACAACCGCGAATATCCCCCAAAAAGAAAGCCATGATCTCGTGATAATCGAAAAATGATTGGCGGAGGGCATGAGTGATAGTTCTGCGGTATCGCCCCTCGTTGAGAGCATTGCCAGTACATCGTACATCGACCCTGAGTGTGATCCCTTGAACAAAAGCGAAATGGCTACTTAATGGGGGAGAGGGACTGACCGTAAAACCGGTGGCTAAGCGGAACCACTAGCACTGGGTGTGGCCGTAGGGCTTTGCGTCCAAGTCATGACTGTGGTGACCGTCACAAAGTACGGGCTCTCAGAGATAAGGGAGTTCATGAGGCGAGTGGCAGTGATGACCGGCCAGGACGTGGTGCCGTTCGCTACGACGCTCGTCGGACTGGCCGCAGCTGCAGACCCGTCGGCAGAAGCTTCGCCTTCCTACGAAGAAGAAGAAGAGTCAGTATGAACAGCGTCGAAAAGTGCGAAGGAAAGTGTACTGCTGCGGGAGCTGCATTGACAGCAAGGAGGAGACTGAGGGTGGCAAGCAAAGGGTGAGAAAGGCGCATCGTGGGGGAATTGAATGAGCGTGTGTAGTAGTCGAGGTGATGATTCGAGCTGTGTCGTGATCTGATGCTTTAAACCTGAAGAGAAAACACTGAAGTACTGAAAAGGTACGAGACCGACAGCCAGAATTCCGAGTATGAGCGCGAGTGGTCAGCCGTCGAGGGAAGCAATGTAATAAAAAAAACGCAGACCATGTCCAACGACTGCGCATTGCGGAGTTGCTTGGCTCTGATTGGGGAGAAAACAGCTCGTAAGGCCGTGCAGCGGTTTCCTTTACATCATGATTAGACGTTCCGCCGGTACTCTCTCTTCAGAGAAATGAAGAGATTACCCCTGCGCATACGATTCAGATGCCGGTCATGCATCATGCGACGGCGTTGAAGCAGCTGGGTCCGTAGAACCGTAGTGAACATCGGGCCTAAACAACACTCATTGAATCTGGATGACATGGGCTGCCTTCCGACCACACTGGTCATTACCGTGCACTGTCTGGAGCACTGGACGTTGAAGCTGGTGTTGACGCGGTCTCTCGGCTCATGCTTTGAAAGCACTTAAAATGCGCAGCGAGCGTGAGCATGGACAACATCTTGCCACTCGGTGAAAAACTTTGTATACTCCTTCAAGCTATGTCGCTGAGAATAGTGACCAGACTGACCTGATTGATACAGAACGAGGGGCGGGTTCCAATCATTACCGGGATTCAAGTTGACGACTCGGTAAATACTGGGAGTGAAAGCTAGCAGGGTTCAAGGCCCAAGAGTTGCCAGTTCACTGGCCATGATGAACTGGATCGAGAATCAGCGGACCGTCGAGGCAGAAATGACTAGAAATGAAGCACCAGTAAGTTCGTGGCACGGTCATTTCAAAAGCGTGGACGGCGACCGTAACCGTGACGGTACCGTTGGGCAAGTCAGGAAGTGGACTGGCTCAACCAGGTGGCGTTTCCGGGGTTCTCCGACTCGGACATGTACATTTCCGAATGGTTGACAGCGTGGTGGTCACCTTGTGGCTCCTCATCTTGAAAACTCGCGCGATGACCGAGTTGTTATACTTCTTTGTCTGCACGTCGACAGCTGTTTCATTTCCTCTGGACATACGCATCGCTTCGCAACTCTCTGAGTGCTCCTGAATGTCATGCTTCAAATTGCCAAAAGAGCTATTGTGCTGTGACGTAGAAAATTTTATGTGCTTTCAAGTTTTGACTAATCTTGTGCGCAGAACTCGTCTCGAAACCTCAGGCGTCTGCTTCAGTGTCCTGGATAATTGACACCCGTGATGCGTCATCCAAACATCTGTCATTCCGAACAAGACTGTGGAGGTCCGCAATGGATTGAGAGGTACGCGTCGCACATTGTACGTACATCCGTAGGTCCAATGTTTGGGAGTACCTGAAAGCATGTTGCCCGACGTATCAACATTCCTTGTGCACACAGTATCTTGCTCATGACGGTTCTGCGCCAATGCTCATCCGCGAAAACGGGCAGAAAAACTCCCACTGATCAGCCAGTGTCTTCTATCGACTTCCGCAGCTTTGTTCGTACCTCTGCCAACGGCACGAAATGTGTTGTTGATGGCAAGCATCGGACCCGTTCTTGAGTACTCCGGCAGTACCTGAGGGTTTCTCTCCGCTCTAATTCGAACAAGGGAGATTGTTCGTTCTGCCCTGCGTTTTGGCGACAGCTAGTTGCATCAATTCCTGGGGTAAAAGACCGTTCACTCCCAGGTACAATTTTTTGACGGCAAAGACAGGCTTCTGTTCCCAAGGTCGACCTGCGACAGAGCCTGACGAAGGTCCCACGTTAGGAAGTATAAGAGTCGCGGACCAGGATGTAACAACACACAGACCCATCTCGCAGCCCCGTTGATAACTATCACTTCTCTCCACGTTCTCTCCACGTTCTCTCCCTTCTTTCGTCAAGTCACGACGATGGCATACACCCTCGCTTCCGCAGCCCTGGCTGCTCCATTGTTCGCCGCTCTCGGAGCCATGGCTGCAATTGGCCCTATTACCGATCTTCACGTCAATAATACTGCCCTGTCGCTCGATGGCTATTCTCGCGAGTATGTCTCCTCCCTCTATCGAAATATAGCTGCACGTACTTATTCTTATATTTAGCACGGTCGTCGCTGGGGGTGTGTTCCCCGGGCCACTGATTACGGGCAATACCGTCAGTACTCGATACGTTGACAACGTCGTTTGTTTTCATCCTCACGCTGTACGATCTTAGGGCGATGAGTTCCAAATTACTGTCTACGATGACTTGAGTGACGACAATATGCTCACTACCACAACCATTGTACGACTGCCTCTCGACAGCTAAAGGGATAGTAAGCTCATGATTTTGCTTCTCAATAGCATTGGCACGGTTTGTTTCAAGCCGGTACTACCAACATGGATGGTACGCCAAATCCCTCATTTATTGACCTTCGCTATCGCTCACTGCTCCTTCTAGGTGTGGCCTTCGTTAGTCAGTGTCCAATCGTCCCAGGGAACTCCTTCCTTTACGATTTCAGCGTCCCTGGACAAGCTGGTATGCCTTTCGTCGCATCTCTACACTTTCCCCTCTCAACCTGCATTTAGGTACCTTCTGGTACCATTCCCACCATTCAACGCAATATTGTGACGGGCTCAGAGGCCCTATGGTCATCTATGACCCAGATGACCCTTACCTGGACCTTTATGATGTCGATGATGGTGAGCACACTTTGTTGGGTCAAGAGCGCATGGTACTTACTTGATTCACAGAAACTACCATCATCACTCTGGCCGATTGGTACTTTACTTCTTTTCTTGACATCACCGTACAGTACAGTCGTTGACCTTGGCGTAGGTACCATGTCTATGCTCCTGATGCTGGCCTCGTACCGTGAGTCTAATTTCTGTTGTGCAGAGATCTTTCTATTTTTGTCATTAACACTTCACTACTTTAGGACGCCCGATGCTACGCTAATCAATGGTTTGGGACGCTACGCCGATGGACCTGCCTCTGATCTCGCCGTTATCACTGTCACGCAAGGAACGAGGTAAGTCTGATCTCTAGGTTCATAACGACCGAAGTTCCTCATTGTTGATATCCTGTTTCTGGAGGTATCGCTTCCGTCTGATCAACATTTCGTGCCACCCGAACTACGTCTTCACTATCGACGGACATACCATGACTGTCATAGAGGCTGATGCGCAGAACACCGAACCTGTCATCACCGACTCTATCCAAATCTACGCTGGTAAGCAATTGACCACAAGTCTTTCACTATGCCCGTCTTGCTGAGGCATGAATGATGCATCAGGGCAGCGCTACTCTTTCGTGCTCGAAGCCAATCAGACCATCGGCAACTACTGTACGCGTGCACATCTCGTACTGAGCAGTTTTCCACCGTTGCTGATAGGAGGTCTCAGGGATCCGTGCTCTTCCGCAGCTCGGAACCACCTCCTTCGATGGAGGATTGAATGTTGCCATTCTCAGATACGACGGTGCGGACGAAGTTGATCCTACTACAAACCAGACTACCAGCACGATGGCGCTCGCGGAGACTGATCTTCACGTATGTTCAAATCACTCCACCAGCCCATTTCTGTTCTGCCTCCGAACACGCGACTCAGACTTTCCTTTTATGTTTTTTTTTCTTTAGCCGCTGGACCCTACTGGTGTTCCTGGAACTGCGGAGACAGGTGGTGCGGATGTAGACCTCAACTTGGTGATCGCTTTCGTGAGTAACTCTGCAGCTGCCCAGTACTCTCGATTCTTACTTAGATCCCAACGTATGTCGGAATTTCTAGGATGGCACTGCCTTCACGGTCAATGGCGTCGCCTTCACCCCGCCGACAGTTCCCGTTCTTCTCCAGATCTTGAGCGGCACCCAGAATGCTGCGGATCTTCTTCCATCCGGAAGCATTATCGGGCTGACGCGCAATCAGACCGTCGAAATTTCCTTGCCTGGTGGATCTGCCGGTTCACCTGTAAGTTTGGGAATAACATATGCGGACTTGAAACCTTTCTGACCAAATTTGTATCATGAATGTTTCCAGCACCCTATCCATCTGCACGGACACGCCTTTGACGTCATCCGTAGCGCCGGAAGCGATACCTACAACTACGACAACCCAGTGAAGCGCGACGTCGTGAACAGTGGCGTTGCGGGTGATAACGTTACCTTCCGATTCACTGCCGACAACGATGGCCCGTGGATCATGCACTGGTAAGATGCTCACCACGCTTTTCCTATGACCTTAAATCCCAAGAGCCTGAAACTGACATCGGGCTGTCCACAGTCATATTGACTGGCATCTGGCCGCTGGGTTTGCTATAGTCTTCGCAGAGGACACAGCTGACATCGCTGCTGACACCACGGTGGACATTGATGCCTGGTACGATAGACCTTACACCTGTTCTTTCACCTATGCAGACTGTTGATCTGCTCTTTTTGTGTTCCAGGGACGGCCTGTGTACCGATTATGACGCATCTGGACTTGCCTGAGGACTGTAATAAGCATGGCTTGGACTTCTTCGGCTTACGCCACACTTCCTGAACATTTTTAGATGTCCGTCACTGCTTCGGGCAGTGAATCGATGGCTGCCCCCGCTCCCTCTTTCCGAATCCACTGCATAATTTTGTATAATTATGGGCTCACTGGGACTTTGTTTCTTCTGTTTTTTTCTTATTGCTTGTGCGCTATTTCGTAGATTCATTGCCAATTCAGAACCTGCCGTCTAGCTACCTCCGTTGGAGTGTTTACGAGAAGAATAGGCGGCCCTATGCCCTGGCGTAAAAGCTGCAGGTATGACAAACGTTGTGCAATGCAACGATTTCATAAATCGCTGTAATGATACCAAATATTGAAGTTGTCGTGTTCGTTGATGCTTGAACAGGACCGCAACAGTCCGAGTCCGGCCGAGCGTCCAAACTCCGATCCAAAGCGGAGTTTGGACGCCCCTCATAAGTATTTCCTGCGCCCACCGTTATTGTACCGCATTTCAACGTTCAAAGTTCAATTCTGATCCCCTCACTACATACAAGACTTTTTGCCCCCAATCTTTGGGTTGAAAGGCATTCCTAAAGTTCTTCACCCTGAGGACAGTATGCCTCTCCAATGCCTCTCTGCGAGCTATGACCCACCCACCACTTCACCGACAAACTTATTTCGTCCATTATAGCTGTAACCTGATCATATCTGCCACGCTCGAGAATGACAATAATTACCACGAAATCGGCCAAAACATGATCAAGGATGCAGGCGAACCATTCAACGACCCCGGCAGCGCGGACTTTATCCTTCGCACTTCAGAAGATGTCGACTTTCGCGTTCATTAACTCATCCTCTCCATGGCTTCGCCCATTTTCACTCTCCCGTGGCCGTCTAACATGGAGACACGAGAGTTCAAAGATGGGTTACCTCTTTTGATATGTCCCGAATCCTCGACCGTCCTCGATGCTGTTCTTCGGTTCTGCTGTCCTACGGCTGCGCCGGAGTTGACCCAACTCACAGAACTCATGCCCGCATATGATGCCCTCGACAAATACTGCATCGAGTCTCTGCTGAAGCCTGTCGAAGCAGCCTTGGTCTTAGCTGTTGACCAGAATCCCATGCTCACGTACACGTTCGGATGTCGCCGCCATCTGCAACCTGTCATCACAGCCGCGGCAAAAGCCACACTCACTACACCTCTCCAGGACCTTCCTTTCATCGATGAATTAGACACAATCACTGGATCCCAGCTCTTCAGGCTTCAAGACTACCATCGCAGATGTTCAGAGTCCGCTGTCGCCGGTGCCCAATATTGGGATTGGTTTGCTGTGTCAGACGACCCTTTGGGCAGCGCGGAGGTCGGGTGCAAGTGTCGCGAAATCTATCATACGTACGATAACCCCCTGCTCGGATCTGTCTTCGACCCTTCTAAGAATTATTGGTGGTTCTACGCTCAGATTTGGTGGTGGGATTATTTGGAGGCTATGGAGAACACGCTGGCATTACGCCCGCGAGGACGGTCTTCGACAAAGCCGCGCTGGATCCTTTCTTGAGGAAGGCAGCCATTTGTAGAAATGAAGCCTGTCGAGCGGGGATGAAGACGTTTTTGGAGTTCGCGGAAAATTTCTCGGCCCTAATTGAGAAGATTATTGATGAAGTCGGTCTCCTTGTTTTATGGGTGTTGCTCTTTCCTGATCCTTTTTCCCTCCTCGTCGTAGGTCGATCCGCCGTATTGAGCTTGTATCTCGGTGGCACGACGCCTTGGACCTCGGAGGTCAGGAAACTCTATGGAGAGGCGCTCATGGATAGCACTTACTAATTACTTAGCCCTGATGGTCTTCCCTCTCTAGTGTATACTCATACACTTACATTGCTGGAGTCTCTTTCGTTAGTAAATTATAATCCTGGAAGATTGCCCCATGGGCCACGGACAGTGGTGCAGAAAGACAGGCAGTTGTGGCCCATTACTATGCTGACCGACGAATGTATTTCAGGCATTGATGGACCCTCCGAGTTGTCCTAAGGCACCTTCGTCGTAGAGTACACGTATGAGACCAGTTACACTTCGTGGCAACCTGTGGCAATCGGTGTGAACTTTAGCATTTTGCCACATGAGTGGCTGACAATGGCCAAACACGCACATACAATGCGTCATTTTCTCCGTCGACTTCACCCCCAAAGAACCGGACACCGACTCTCATTTGCTTGCTCCTCTGCTTGCATACCTTTTTACTATCTACTGGCTCATATTCCAATCCGTCGGTAGTGGAATTGATATCTCTTCAGCTTTGCTTCTGCGGTTTGTCGCAGTCGCGCCGGCTACTGGTAAGCGTCTCTATATGCTACTAATAACTGCATTGGGCTCTGAATTAGCCCGATCTGTTGCTACTAGTCCGTGTCTCCAGAGAGATTCACTCAGACTATATATAAAGACCAGTCAACATTCTCGAAATTCACTGCGGTAGGTTTGGCTCCTCAGTCCCTCGTATACAGACCGTTGCTTTTTGAGGATCTCACCTTCAGTTACCGCATCATTAGATACCTCATGTCCGATACAGTCAACAAGAACGGCAAACGTCCTCATGCAGACGGCGAAGAAGCCGAGATAAAAGAGGCAGACGCGCCGTTCAATGCACCCAGTGCTGACTTTATCCTTCGTGCCTTCGATAACGTCGACTTCCGCGTTCACAAAGTTATCCTTTCCGTCGCTTCGCCGGTCTTCGAGTCCATGTTCGCTCTTCCGGACTCCAAAACAGACACCCAATATTCCAAGGATGGCCTCCCTGTTTTGGCCTGCCCCGAACCGGCGGCCGTACTCGACCCTGTACTCCGCTTTTGCTATCCCACAGCTACACCAATGTTGACGGAGTTGACCGCCCTGATGCCGCTCTACGACGCTATCGACAAGTATTGTATGGAATCGCTTCTGAAGACAGTCGAAGCGGGTCTGATATCAGCCGTCGACCAAGACCCTATGGTCGCGTATGCGTTTGGATGTCGCCACCACCTTCAACCAGTCATCACGGCTGCCGCAAAAGCCTCGCTCAACACCCCCGTCGGAGAATTGCCCTTTTGCCCAGATCTCGAGCGTATAACTGCTGCTCAGCTCTACAGACTGCACGAATATCATCGCGCGTGCAGAGACGCTGCGAGTAGGGTTCCTACGTACTGGGTCGGCTGGCTAACGGTCGCGGATATCCCTCTCGGAGGCCACGAGGGTTGCAAGTTTTGTCGCGCGGAAATATCCCGCCTGGACAACTCAGTCCCCGGCTTCGTCTATGACGGGAAATCAAAGAAATGGACAACGTTCACTCCAGTGTGGTTTTGTGATTATCTCAATCTGCTCGAGAAGGAGCTAAAGTCTCGACCGCGCGGGAGTACGGCCATGGACGGCAAGATTCTAGATACATTTATGCTAAGAGCAGCGGCATGCCTCAACGTGGACTGTCGACGAGGGATCACAGACCTGCTCGCTTTTTCAAAGAAGCTTGCTAAGAGGATTGAAAATGTTATAGACGCCGTGAGTTTCATCCATGTAACCCTTGACTGTCGCCTTCCATCGCTAGACGACCTCACAGATGTCTCTTCTTTGAGCAGGTCCAACCCCCATACTAATTCATATATTCCGACCTAATCCTTGTCACAATTTCATATCCGCATGTTCATCATCTATGTGTGTTCGTCCTTCGGTTCAAGTCTGCTCTAGACTCACTGTGTGTTCACAACAGTCTGACCTCGACGATTTGTGGCACACATATCTCGGCTTACTTCGATGTATCATAACTCATCCTACCCCCCCCCCCC